TTTTTTGCTTTTGTGGGAATTGCAACCAACACGAAAATTGCAATGTCGATCTATTGACTTTAGGCTGATAAAATGTCCCGACCTTAGTTTTTTGCTTTTGAATAGGTACTCAATGGGCTCCCAAAGGCGAGCTTCTTCCCAGCAATCCCCCATCGGCATGTTCTCAAATTGGGCCCGGAGGGATAAGGGTTTCATGCATTGGGGCTTGAAACGAAGCTCCCGGCGACCAGGTGCAGAAGCCATGTGGGTTTCCCAAGCATCGCGCAAAGCATCTCCGAAGCCAGCAGGATAATTCCTGGGCGAGGGCCATGGATGGATGGGTGGACAGGAGCCTTAAATTTGGCACTGGAATGCGATGGCTGCTACTTATTGCAGTATATCACTGGTGACATTTCAAGACCGAATATGATTATGCATGTATACACACCATGCTTTCCACTGGTAAGGGAAATCTCAGAATGGTGTATGGGGTGTCTTGAGGCATTCTCTACCAGGTCTCATCCTCGAGCAATAGTTAACCCAAAGCATGCAAATCTCATATTCGAACAGAAAATGGTCCCCCAACCTGTTCCAGAATCCTTCCATACATATTATGCAAAAATCCCAGTGATCAAAAATATTTAAGGGGTACCTTTAAACCATGTTCAACCCAATTTCTGCCAAAGAAACTGACTGCCTTTTAAATCAGCAGTGCCGACAAAACGCTTGCGTCCAGCTTTGTCAACATAGCTACCTGAAAGAAGGTACCGGTTTATTTTGCACATGCAATGGTTGGTTGGTATATGTTGGTATGATATATTATATGGGCATATTTCAAAGTTTAAGGGTGAACGAATATGATTGTTTCAGGGCTTAAAATTTTTGATTCACCCCCCATTTTGGGACAGCCCCACATCACCCATTAATCATCCGAAAACGACCCTATATATAAACTGGTAATCCAACCAACCATTGCCAGCGCAGGAAAGTGTCGAGTCAACTTTTTTTTGGTGCGGCGTTCCTTCTCTGCTTTCGTTAGGGGCCCCAAGTCTAGCATTTGGATCTCTTGCATGCAGCTGTAAACAATAGTTCTCTTTGATGTTGGACTTCCATGCAAGCACATCCAAAATTCAGTCTGGAAAGCCTCGGTTTGTGGTTTTGCATGGAAAAGCCAAAACATTCATGCAAAAGATTCCTAACTGTAGATCATTCAGGGATGCTCGAAACGGTACCCAATTTGGTTGGAAGGCCAGAAACATAGCAAACATGGTTCACCAGCCAATCGAACCTGCGATTCTTTCGCAACAGTGACCCATGTGGTTGCTCCAAGACCCAAATTGCATTTCTGGATAGGATCACAAGGATGAGAAGCACCGTCCTGAGGTACCCAATAATCAATAATCATAAGATGACGATAAATCATGAGCAAGAATTGAATGCAACATTCTATCATGAAATGCATGCAGGTTTCCGTGATACCATGCAACCAGATCGATTCACCCAATCCAGAAACACATTCCCAAAGATGTTGATAACTGAGCGAAGAGATGTGCCCCTTGCGGGGACACCCCAACTTGAGCAGTCGGGCGCCAGCAATCCCAAGGCATTGACTGGCATCTGCATCACGGTCATCAACGCCACCCTTGGATTGGAGGCAGCAGGGTAGGTGATCTTAGGGACCAAAAATGAAAAGGCCGAATTCGCTTGAGATATGCTTGAGATATATAAGGGCTATTAAGGTTGGTTGGTAATCATTATATATCATTATAACCCTTGGGGATGTCAAATATGAAAAAGGCAGAACCTTGGTCATTGGTGTTTAAGATATATATAAGGGGCCATATGGTATTGTTATGTTTCCAATGAATTGTCATAATACCATAATCCAAAACAAGGGGCAAATACCCTGCAGGCGTCAGAAAATCCATTGATTTGGAGTAGTCGCGATCATAGGCTGCGCAGCGATAGCCGCTTTCTGACCTTATAACCCCATGACATTTTTTGGGAAAAAGTACGCCAGGAATGCAGTTTAAGGTTGGACTTGAACTGGGCCCACTGCATTCGTCTTGTAACTTCGGCACGGCCGCTAAAGATTTCCACGAAATCGAAAGAGGTCAAAGGGGCATCAACCCATGATGCCAACAAAACCTAGGACCCACTAGAGATCATCCATGCGAATGACAGGCTGGTTCACCTATAGCTATATAACCTTTTTCTTAAAATTGCAGATTTTAAGATCCGAGCCAAAGCTATCATCACCTGCCCAGGGCGCAGACTTTTTGGGAAATCATCATGGACGCACTGCAAGCCATGTGGGATTTCAACATCATATTCGTACATGTAAATGGGCCTTAGGCGCTTGAACATGCTGAAGGTTGGCAACAGGGCACCAAGTCATTGCACCCCTCTAGCTGTGGTTTCAGCAGCTTTGATCCCAGAAAAAGGCTCTGCATGTTTTGTCATGGGTCTAAAACATAAATTAAGTAAAAGCATGACCAGCAATCGCTGCAATCCAAGCCAGGCGTGACCAGAAGCTGCGGCCTCCCGCAGCCAATGGGGCATGCCTGCACGGGGCTGAGGTGGCAAGTTTCTCGATGGGATATATTATATTCTAGGTATATATTATATACATCTCTCTCGGTGGTGGTATATCGTCTTGGTGGTGATATTTTATTAAACCAAATCTGGAAGCATTGCGTGAGTGAATTTCACCATCCCAAAAAGACCGAACACCACTGTGTGAGTTTGAGCGACGACGGGCTGCACCCGTTGCATTCATGGCATTTTTGCACACCGCGCCATGCTGCTACACCGGCTGACCAGATTGATGGATATATATAAGTCATGGCATTTCAACCATGGTCCAAGATAGCACATGTTTCAAAAGCGCACGAAAGGGCTAAATTGCTATGCAATGACACCCCTGGTAGACCAAGTTGATCTACAACCCCCATGGCCATGTTTTCACGGCCGCCCTCTCACTTGCTCAGTTGCCAGTCTCCTCGCTCTGGTCAATCTCGCCGGTGTCGACAATGCTGTGGTATGCCTTGGATGGCGATGTTTGGCTCTACCCGGAGATACCCGGAGTGTTTGGTTATGTTTGGTTCATGTGTCCTGTAGACCCCAACGCGTGCATGCACAATCTGTCAAGGTACTGCAGTAGCCAACTTCAAGGCTTCTTCCTTTGTTCTCCCTTCCTGAAGGGCCTTCCTTTTGGCCGTGTGGTATGCACTGCTTTTTCGGCTTAACAATTTCTTCTTTTTCAATGCTTCCTCAGGTGACTTACTGCCACTAGCACGCTTTGCACGGACCCCCTTGACAGGCGTGGTTTTCTTCTTGGGGGAAGCCTTTGCTTTCGGTTCACGTTTCTTGCGTTTGTCTGCGTCTCCCTTTGCCTTTTTGGTGTCTGCGTCTCCCTTGGCCTTTTTGGTGTCTGCGTCTCGCTTGCCTTTCTTGGTGATCTTGGTCTCTTTGGTACTTTCAGTCTTGTCCGTCGCAGGTGTTCTTTTCTTTCTTTTGCATGAGCTGGAAGCTGATGGCTGCTGTTCCTCAACCTCATGTTCCATCTCACCTTCTGCCTTCTTGTTTTTCCCACGGCCTTTCCCCCGCCCACGTCCTTTGCCTCGTCCCCGGCCTTTGGGCCCACGCTGCTCCCCGGGAGTGATCGGGAGCAAGGACTGCAAAATCGCATCAGGGCGATCCTTGTCTGAAGGATCGACAGCATCTGCAGGTTCAACCTCCTTGGCTGGGTTGGCAATGTCAGCTTGGGCAGGTTCGGTGTCATGGGTCTCATCTAGGGTCATGGTTTTTGCTCTCAAGATCTCTGACTCTTGGGTAGCAGCAATGACCGCATCGACCAATGTATCCCCCATAGGCAAAGTATCAATGTTGTCCATGCCTGAGTGGCCAAAATTATTTTGTCGAAAAAACGGAAAATGGGAACACATGGAATGCACAGGCTGAGGTTGTATCTATTTTTGCTAAGAACATGACATTCTGTTGGACCAGCTGGATTGGAAGATGCTGTGCCTACAACCTCCTGGGGCTGAAGTGGCCTGCTCTGGCAGACCAGCTCATCCAACTTTTGGCGCTTTGCCATCAGGATTTCCGCATCACACTTCCATGAGGCATGCTGAAGCGCAAGGTCTACACTTCCATTTCCTTGGTTGGCCCTCTTGACCCCCCAAATGGCTTGACCCTTTGTGAAGCCCATGTTCACGATCAGCTGCATGTTGTATAGGTCCTTGCCAGAAAGAATGGCGCCATCCTGCGTTCCAGCCTCTGGGCTGGAAGCAGCTGGCTCCTCTGGACTCGATGTTGGACATGTCATTGACAGGGCGATGGCTTCTGCCAAATCGTCCTCATTCGAATCTGCCTTGGGCAAGTCCTGCAGTGACATCTCAAGAGCTTTTTGAAGCTCAGGGTCCTCTTGGTCCTGGACCTTGTCCGCTGGCACAACAGCATCCACATGTGGCTGCGTCAGTGACAACGCCATAGATTCCTCAAGCATTTGAGCAAGCTCCAACTCTTCCTGCAAGAGTTGCTCTAACAGCAGCTCAGATTCGTCCATGGTTGTGGCTTTCTCTTCAACTTTCTCTTCGGGTTCTTTCTCCCCAGGACCCTTGCTACTATCCGGTTTCCCCGAACAAGGTTTGCACTTGAGGTCAGACCCGGTAAGGTTGCAAGTCGCACAATGGTATCCCTTGTCCGTGTGCTCGATAACATGATCGCCAGTAGGTTTTCCTGAGGGTAGGCAAACAATAACCCATACATCAAATTTAATGCAAACAACCCCAACTGCACACCATGACATCCAGCGCGAAGTGCTTGCAAGACACCTGGCCGAGGTTGCCCCAAGCGAAGAGGCACTGACTTCTTCAGGTTCGGTCCTGGGCTGTGCTGTGGAAGTCAAATAAGTGAAACATATAGGAGTTGAATATGGTTGGACTAAAAAAACACTGGTCGGACTGGAAACCTGACCTTGCTTCAACTCGCTGGTGTTGGCAGGGCTGCTTGATGTCAAAGCTGGCGTTGATGCCTCCTACAAAATGGTAACCCCAAAGACTTTGTGTCCTAAAGGAAATATAAGATGCTATGTTCAACGCATATCGTAGTGTTACAGTATATGGTTCTAAATAGTCCTGCATTGGTTTGGGAGCAACCGCTGGGATCTTGTTGACGGGTTCCACGGTCGCTTTTCCCACAGGGGTTTCTTCAGGGGGTTCCACCACTGGGGCTGGTGTCTTCACAGGGGGAGCTGTCATTGGGACTTCTTCGGGTTCAACAACCGGATCATCTTCCTCATGCTCACTTTCCATGCACTCACCCCCTTCACCATCATCACCCCAATCATCGGTCGCCGCAACCAGCATCACCTCCGGAATCATCACCAGGCGGTTCCAGGGAAGAACCTGGGGCAATGGATGGATGGCCAGAAGCTATTGCCAAAAAAAGCCGAATGTTAAGATAAGTTAAATATATATCCCCCAATAGTTGGATGATGTGAAGAAAAATGGACATTTAGCATCCCCTGTTATGTATACGTATATATGTATGCTATATATATATAAGGTGAAATGGGGATCAGATTAAGATGGCCAAAGGACTTGAAGAACCACGAGGGGAAACATCAGGAATGGGGATCTCTGCCACTTCCATGAGTCTAAGCAGGTTTGGGTCCCTGGGACGATGTCCTCGCTTGACTGCTCTGGAAAAAATCGAGATGAGGTTTCTCAAAATCCAGCTCTCACAAGCAATGACAGCACCTTGGGCGGGGCTGCAGCTAGTGATTCTAAATCCATTATATGTATACAAAACACCGTTGCTGCAGTCATGAAATTTGATCCTAAGACGGTATATGGAAAGAAAATGGAAGAGACCCATTTACACACGCACACACACACACACGCAGACACACCAAAGGCCCCTGCCGGACGGAAGAGCCTTTCCGCGAGGCCGGCAATGCACCAGCAGCTCCTGGACAGCTTCAGTGAGCAAGCCAACGGATGGGCGAAGTCCTCAGCAGTCCATGGGCGGTTTGATCTCGAGATTTAACTTCCCGGAAGACGAGCAATTTTAACTACTGTTTTGAAGGCCGGTTTTGAAAACATTAAAACATTCAAGTCTTGCACAAGGATACTTTAAGACAATTCAGGCTATGTTCGAATATGTTGGAGAATCGGGGTCAGAAGCTCCACATTGATGCTGACATCACGCCGTGTCAGACGAGCAATTTCAACTACTGTTTTGAAGGCCGGTTTTGAAAACAAAAACATTCAAGTCTTGTACAAGGATACTTTAAGACAATTCAGGCTATGTTCCAATATGTTGGAGAATCGGGGTCAGAAGCTCCACATTGATGCTGACATCACGCCGTGTCAAAGCTTTTGGTTTTGCAACGTTGGCTAGCTTACCAGTCGCTGCCCTACGGCATAGATCCTCATTGGCCTTCCAGCACTTGAAGATTTCAGCTACCAACTTGTGTTGCTCCTGCTGACCCATGGCAGCAACCGCAGTGTTTGCCACGTACCAATTGATCCCAAATGGCTTCAAAGAAGCGGCAGTCTTTTTTATACTTGACCCCCATGTTTGAGCACCAACCAGCTTATGAAGATCCAGACTTGACCTGTCGACAATATAGCAATCTAGCATCCACGATGTCCCACCCGTGCTGGCCTGCTAAAGTTTGCCGGCAGCCAAGGTTGTAGCATCGCGTACCTGGAGCACACTTCTATGGCACACAAGGGGTGTTCAAAATTGTCCAACGGCCTCAGAACACAGGGGGCACAAGGTCAAAAGAGGACCACAAGGAAAAAATTGAGCCAGCAATGGCTTTGAAAGAAAAACGCTCGAGATATTTGATTTAAGTGACGAATGGAAATTTATGCTCGGATGGCTAAAAGGTACAGGGTGGCAAATAATAATGTAACGAACGATGATCCAGGTATATATATATTATATTATATATATTTCCTAATGGCCTGGAAGACATGCTACTTTATATCTCTAAAATACTAAATGGAATGAGGCTGTGCCTTATAGGAAGCTGAGGTAGGGCATTCTTGAAGGAAGATGATCAAATCCTAGATATCTCTCTGGCATCTCTCTTTCTTCTCTACCTTTCGGCCTCTTCTCTCTACTCCTACCCATCTTCCCACTCTTGACGACGACCAGCCTCATCTTAAGATTGCTATCTAGATCTGTAAGCTCACAACACAACGCACCTCCTTGCTACCAATCACAACCTTTATATTATAGAGAGCACAATTTTTGGCACGAAGGAGAGCACCAAAAAGCACGATCTAGAGCACGATTTTTGGCACGAGGGGGAGCACCAAAAAGCACGATTTGTGGCACGAAGGAGAGCACCAGACCAAAAAGCACAATTTTTGGCACGAAGGAGAGCACCAAAAAGCACGATCTAGAGCACGGTTTTTGGCACGAGGGGGAGCACCAAAAAGCACGGTTGTTGGCACGAAGGAGAGCACCAGACCAAAAAGCACGATTTTTGGCACGAAGGAGAGCACCAAAAAGCACGATCTAGAGCACGGTTTAGAGCACGAAGGAGCACCAAAAAGCACGATCTAGAGCACGGTTTTTGGCACGAAGGAGCACCAAAAAGCACGGTTGTTGGCACGAAGGAGAGCACCAGACCAAAAAGCACGATTTTTGGCACGAAGGAGAGCACCAAAAAGCACGATCTAGAGCACGGTTTTTGGCACGAAGGAGAGCACCAAAAAGCAGGATCTAGAGCACGATGTTTGCACAAAGGAGAGCAATGCACGACGGAGAGCACCAAAAAGCACGATTTTTGGCACGAAGGAGAGCACCAAAAACCACGATCTAGAGCACGGTTTTTGGCACGAGGGAGAGCACCAAAAAGCACAATTTTTGGCACGAGGGAGAGCACCCAAAAAACACGATTTTGTGCACAAGGGAGAGCATCAAAAAGCACGATCTAGAGCACGATTTTTTGCACGAGGGAAACACCGAAAAGCACGATTTTGTGCACGAAGGAAAACACTCAAAACAACGTTCCCCCAAAATATAAAGAATTTGTTTTTTGACTGTTACAGCTATTAGGACGGACTCAATGTGTATATATATATATACACATGATATTGGTTATATATATATGTATGTTACTTCGCGTGTATATATATATATTGTTTATTATCAGACTATCATTATCATCGCAGGAAGTTTAGAAGTCAAACTTCCGACAATACGGACAGATGGAAAAGCAGAGGTGAGACAAGTCAGAGAAGAGAAGAGAAGAAGAGAAGATCAGAGAAGAGAAAGAGTCAGAAGAAAGAAGATGCAGATGCGCGAAAAAGTAGGAAGGTCGCGAAACACTGTGTTTTTCCAATGATTTGTGGCTCCGGAGGGTCGAAAAGTAGGCTTGCTAAAGCGGCCGGTGCAGAGCCAGCTGGCCAGATGAGAGATGACAAATTGCACGCCATTGTGGGGCGAAGCACATGTCCAAGTCAAAATGTACAAAACACGCCAGCTTCGGACCACTTTTGGAAGTTGAGATGTCGAAAAAGTGCACGCCGTTGTGGCGCGAAGCACATTTCGAAGTCAAAATGTACAAAACACACCAGCTTCGGAGCACTTTTAGAAGTTGAGATGTCGAAAAAGTGCGCGCCATTGTGGCGCGAAGCACATTTCTAAGTCAAAATGTTAAAAACACCGGGGGTTCGGACTACTTTTGGACGTTCAGATGTCGAAAAAGTGCACGCCGTTGTGGCGCGAAACAGATCACATTTTTGCCATTATCCATAATATATATATATATACACATTTGAACCTATATGCATTTATACGTTTGTGTCTATACTTGTACATGTGCGTATTTAGCTGGCAAAACCCACACTTAGAACAAATCACGTTTTGTCATTGTCCATATAATATGTACATTTAAACATTAGAACCTATATACAAATATACGTTTGTGTCTATACTTGTATATGTGCGCATTTAGGTTGCGAAACCCACGCTTAGAACAAATCACATTTTGTCATTATCCATATAGTATAAATATATATATATATATTATACACATTTGAACCTATATATATATGTTTACGTTTGTGTTTACACTTGTATATCTGCGTATTTAGCTGGCGAAACCCACACTTAGAACAAATCACATTTTGTCGTTATCCACATATATATATACAATATAGATATATATATATAATCTTATATAGCATTTAGCTATATTTTTTCAGACGAGATAGAGAAGCAGGGCCCTCTACTTCTATATAGTAGTGAGCTATCCTATGATGGAAAGGGGAGATTGACGGAATGGTCTCTGCGGTAGAGGTAGAGGAGTGGATTTTACTTTTATTACGTCAAGTTGGTCAGAAAAGGCAAAGGGGTTAGATAAAAGGAGGTCAAGAGAAGGTTAGTTTGTTGGGAGTGGGTAGGGGAGGTGTCTTGAAAGTAGGAAGTCGGGGGGGTGTCAGTTAAAGGAGATGTTTGAATAGGGCAAAAAGCTGAAGATATATATATATATATATACAATATAGATATATATATATACACATTTGAACCTATATGCATTTATGCGTTTGTGCCTATACTTGTATATGTGCGTATTTAGCTGGCGAAACCCACACTTAGAAGAAATCACATTTAATTAGGTTGCAAAATTAGACATGGTTTCCGGGGAATAACATACATTTAAAAAAAAAAACATGAGACATGTTGTTTTGTAGGCAATGTTGGCCAAAATTGTTACATAATGGTGTTTTTTGTTCTAAGTGTAGGGTTCGGGCCGTTTTTTGTTCTAAATAGTTGTTTTCGGGCCGTTTTTTGTTCTAAGTAGTTGTTCTGTTTTTTTGGGGTGGTATTGACGATTTGTTCTAAGTCGTGTGTTTTTTCATTTTTCCAAAATTTGTTCTAAGTAGTTGTCCGTCGCTATAATTACGCAACATTACAACTACAACTCCACTACACTACAACTACGACTATAACTACAACTGCACTACACCACACTACATCCAGCAGTTGTGGTGAGATGACAACTGCTAACATTGCAACCACTCCAAAAGGCACAACTCCAACCACCTTTCGGTCCATCAGTGGATTCGCTCTGCCATCCGTGATTCACAACAACCAACCTCTCCTATAGGTTTCCTATTTTTGAAACTTCCGCCACGGCCTTGTGCGGTACTACTGGTATAATATCAATATAATATAATAGAATATAACAAAATATGATATAGTCGCGCCGCTTTCGCTTACCTCCAAGGCGGGCATTGCAGAGCACCAAAATGGGTCCTGCTTCAAACCCACGGAGACCTTAGTTGCGAATTGAGCCAAGTGAGCCACAAAAACCAAGGCGGAATCCGAGGGTAAAAATATGCGAAACCATGGAAAAATATGGAAATCAAATTGGGATGGGTGACTTTTGGAAGAAAAACATGAAAGTATGTGAAAGTCGAACCGGATCAAATTCAATGTGATTTCTTTGATGTAGATGGAACCACTCAAGAACAAAAAGAAATATTTAGAAAATCGCCAAAAAATGTTTTGAATGGACGCCAGTCGAAGGTGCAAATCGCAGTGAATGTCACTGCGGAGGTTGCCAAAATTAGTTTTTTTTGTCCTGAACGCAGAAATCACGACTCTCGACTTGAATTGGAGGGTATCACCCCAATGGAACCATCGTTACATGGGGTGCGTAATCACCAAGAATCAAGCGGCATGCAATCAAATATATGGGTTTGTCTGAAAATAGGATACCCCAAACATCCACGGGTTCATCACCATTTTCCCTGTGAAGTGTTAAAAATTGGCCACAAATTGGGGTTCAACCCATCCCCTTCAGACACCCCATATATTAGATTGGTTCTACATATGTATATATATATCTCTATCTATCTATCTATCTAACTATCTACTGTATCTATCTATCTGTCTATCTATCTATCTATCTAGGTATTTATCTATTTAATGTTAATTATTAATACATGTGTCCCACCATATCTCCATTGAAGCCAATTTTATCCAAGTACAATGCTTGGTTCATATCCCATGATATCCTCATTACTGCTTGGTCTGATCCTTATTTATAGATTGTTCAGCCACATTCAAGAAAGTCCCATGATCAACTTTATACCAAGCAGTGCCCGGCCCATGCCGGGGCGGGAGTTTCGAAAACATGAAATCAGCTTTAAGAAATCAACGGCCTTTAGGATTTTTTTGAGATGCAGAAACAATGAAGTGTTGAAGTTGCGAGGCGCATCAACGAATGAACAGATGGTGGTTGAGATGCCAATGACATGACCTGACCTGACAGAATCCATGCACAGCTGATTGACTTAATGAACAAACGAACCAGTGAATCAATAAATCAATGAACGAACGAACGAACGAAAGAATGAATGAACGGATGAACGGATGAATGGATGAATGAGTGAATGAACAAACGAACGATCGAACGAACGAACGAATGAATGAATGAACGAACTGTTAAATGAATGACTGACTGAATGACTGACTGAATGAATGATTTTCAAAAATGAAATGAATGAAATGAAAGCATGAACGAATGAATGGGTGAATGAAGGACTGACTGAATGAACGAGTGAAAGAATGAAAGGAGGAAAGAATTAAAGAATGAAAGAATGAAAGAAAGAAAGAAAGAATGAAAAAATGAATGGATGAATGGATGAAAGGAAAGAAAGAATAGACGAATGAAAAAATGAATGAAATAAAAATGAAAGAATAAAAGAATGAAAGAAAGAGAGAAAGAATGAATGAATGATTGAATGAGTGAATGACTGAATGACTGAATGAATGTCTGAATGACTGATTGAATGACTGAATGAATGAATGAACGAATGAATGAACGAATGAATGAATGAACGAACGAACGAATGAATGAATAAAATGAAAGAATGAATCAATGACTGAATAAAAGAATGAAAGAAGTAATGAATGACTGAATGAAAGAATGAAAGAATAAAAGACTGAAAGAATGAAAGAATGAAGGAAATAATGAAGGAATAAAAATGAACTCATGGGTCGATGAGCTAATGAAACAAAGAGCCAATGATTCAGTGAATCAATGCATCAATCAATCAAACGATGATTCAGTGAATCAATGAGTCGGTGAATCCATGAATAAATGAATCAATGAACCAATGAATCAGTGAATGGACAACGAGCCAATGAATTCAATGAAAAGATCAGTCAACAAATCAATGATGCAGTGAGTGAGTGAGTCAATGAAACAATGAACCGATGATTCAGCGAATCGATGAATCAGTGAATCAGTGAACCAATGAACGGACGAATGAGTGAGTCTACGAAAGAGTGAATCAATGAGGCAATGAAGCAATGAACTATTGAATCAATGAAACAAGGAACCGGGAACCAATGAATCAATGAATCGATGAATCAATAATCAATGCACTTTTCCAACTTCATCTTCCAAAAGTGCTCCAACCCCCTCGGTTTTTGCGATTTTGAAATGCAAATCAAGCTCTCGCCACAATTTCATGCACATTTTGCCAGCTTCATCTTCCAAAAGTGCTCTGATCCCTAGTTTTTTTTTGTGATTTTGATGCTGCAAACCGAGCTCTCACCACAGTCTGGTGCACATTTTGCCGACCTCATCTTCCACAAGTCACCTCGAATGTGCAGTTTTTCAAAATGTCAAATCCAAATCAAGCTCTTGCAACAGTATCGTGCCCATGTTGCGGCCTGAATCCTCCAAATGCCCGGACCGCCATTTTGTCTAACATTTTGAAGTGCACTTGAGCTCTCACCACAGTCTGGTGCACATTTTGCCGACCTCATCTTCCACAAGTGCTCCGCAGCGGTCAATTTTTTAACGTTTTGAAGTGCCGATCCAGCTCTCGCTAGAGTCCTGTGCGGGTTTTGTCAACAACTTTCCCAGATCGAGGCCCGCAAGCGCGGAAACAGAGACCTACTTCAACTTCGGCGACCTCAGGAGCCACGTTACCCCCAAGAAACACAGCGCTTTGCGCCTCTTCCGAACTGTCACACTTCCCAACTACTTGATAATGATGTGGTTTACAGTATAATGTGGTTGACATGATGACTGGGTTAACATGATGATGCGGCTGACATGATGGCGTGAACGCCAACCATGTCCATCGTCCGTAACTCGGATGTTTTGTAACTAAAAATCCTTTGATCACTACTACATATCATATATCCCATGATATTCCTAGTGTACCCCTATAATGTTTCATGATATTCCCCATTGTATTCCCATCTTAGTTCCATTACAGCCCCATGATAGTCCCATGACCTTCATCTTGATGCGTACCGAGGTGCGGCTGACACGCTCCCTACGCATTCCAGGGTTACTGCCATGGCAAGAGCATTCCTGCGGCGAGGGGAGACGGTTCAGTGCCAAATTTCCCACAAAAAAAGAACGGGTGGGTTTCGGGTTTATTTAGTGTAAGTTTCAGAGGTTTGCTTAAAGGTTACGTAGGGTTGTTTTTGTTCTTTATGGTGGTTTTGGTTTGGGTTTATGTTTTGTTGGTTTAGGGTTTGCTTGGGGTAAGCTTTAGTTTTTTTTAGGTTTCTTTGATGCTTTGCTTAGAGTTGTTTTAGGGTTAGTTGAGGGTGTATTAAAGGCTTGAGAGGCACAAAAGCAAAACACAGCAGAGAAGCAGAACAGCGGAGAAGCAAAGAAGCAGAAAAGCAAAGAAGCAGAGAAGCGGGGAAAGGAAGAAAAGCAGAAAAGCAAGAAGCAGAGAAGCAGAACAGTGGAGAAGCAGAGAAGCAAAGAATCATAAAGGCAGAAGCAATGAAAAGCAGAAATGCAAAGAAGCAGGGAAACAGAAATCAAAAAAAAAAATGGAAAAAAAACACGCATTCAAAAAGAAAAAACTAGGGATACTCTATAACTGAGGTACGAAATCATCGGTATCATCTGGTTCTTGCTGCGTTACCATCCACTTTCTAACTGGGATGCACATCCAAGTAAGTAGAGTTGTTTCCATGGAAATGGAATACAACTATGATGACTACCCAATTATTGAATTTTGGAACCTCAACATGTGAGGTAAATAAAAAAACATTTCAAACAGGTCCACTTTCTCTCTCGAACTGTTTTGCTTGATACGTCGTTTGATTCACTGGTAGATCTCTAAATCTACGTCCGTGACTGTCACAGCTATTCTCTGACCCATAACGGCTCAACATGGTAGCCACCAAAAGTACCAGATCTGGTTGAACAGTAGAAACATGGCCATCATACCACATCCCTGGATTTTTTGGGGAAAGGTCCCGGATTTCTTGGAGCCACCCACCAAAATCCCAATGTTCAGCAGCAAGGTTCAGCAGCACGCAAACACCAATGAGGGTATCAAACTTGCCCATGATCTTGTCCTGGAGAGTCGGAGTTGGGACCATTTTACCATCTGGCTAATCTTATATGCTTTTGAAACAAATGGAGGTTTCCTTAAATGGGGGTACCCCCAAATCATCCATTTATAGATGGGAAATTCCATCACAAACCATCCAGCTATTGGGGTACCCACAATTGTGGAAACATCCGAATGGGAAAAGAAATAAAAACATGTCCTACCTCATCCCTCATCCCAAAAACCCAAGGGGTGTCTAGAGGAAGACATCATGGTCAATGGGAGCTGAGCACTCCAAGAAATCTGAATGAACAATGCAGGAGCATGGTCACCTAATCATTCTTAATCCTAGCACAAGGCGGTGGCGGAAGTTTCAAAGATAGGATACTATAGGAGAGGTGAGTTGTTGTGATGCATTGATGGCAGAGCGAACCCACTGACGGACCGAAAGGTGGTTGGAGTTGTGTTTTTTGGAATGGTTGCAATGGTTGCAGTGGTCACCTCACCCACAACTTCTGCATGTAGCGTGGCGTAGTGCAGCTGTATCTGTAGTTGTAGTGTAGTGGAGTTGTAGTCTTAGTGTAATGCAATTAGCGTGGTGCAGTTGCAGTTGTAGTTGTGCTGTGGTGCAATGAGTGTAGTGCAATGTAATGTAGTGTAGTGTAGTGTGTTGTAGTGTTGTTAAGTGCTGTGGTCTAGTCTAGTCTAGTGTGGTGTGGTGTAGTGTGGTGTAGCGGAGTGGAGTGGAGTGGAGTGTAGTGTAGTGTAGCGTAGTAGAGTAGAGTAGTTGAGTGTAGTGTAGTGTAATGTAGTGTAGTTGTCGTTGTAGCTGTAGCTGTGTAGTGTAGCGTAGTGTGGTGTAGTGTACTGTAATTAATGTAGTGTAATGTAATTAGTGTAGTGTAGTGTACTGTAGTCTAGCGTACTATAGTGTAGTTGTAGTTGTAGTGGTAGTGTAGCGTAGTGTAATAGAGTGTAGTGTAGTGAAGTGAAGTGGAGTGTAGCATTGTGTAGTGTAATTAGTGCAGTGTAGTGTAGTGTAATGTAGTTGTAGTTGTTATTGTAGTTGTAGTTGTAGTGGTATTGGTAGTGTAGTGTAGTGTGGTGTAGTGGAGTGGAGTGTAATATAGTGTATCGTCGTGTAGTGTAATTAGTGTAGTGTACCGTAGTGTAGTTGTATTTGTAGTGTAGTTGTAGTAGTACGTCGTTGTAGTTGTACATAGTTGTAGTTGTAGTTGTAGATGTGGTTGTAGTGTAGTGTGGAGTGGAGTGTAGTGTAGTGGTGGTTGTAGCTAAAACTGCTACAAAACCCTCACGTTTTTCTCGCTTTTGACAACATGCAGAATCCCTTGCGCCTGCCACGCAAAACGGGATCTGAACACCCAAAAGTGCTCCAACCCCGTCAATTTTTTACACTTTTGACTTCGAAATGTGCTTCGTGCCACAACGGCGTGCACTTTTTCGACATCGCAACTTCTAAAACTGCTCCGAACGTGAGGTGCTTTTAGCTTTTTCACTTGCAAATGTGCTTCGCGCCACAACGGCGTGCACTTTTTCGACATCGCAACTTCTAAAAGTGGTCCGACGTTGGTGTGCTTTGTACATTTTGACCTCGAAATGTGCTTCGTGCCACAACGGCGTGCACTTTTTCGACATCGCAACTTCTAAAACTGCTCCGAAAGTGAGGTGCTTGTAGCTTTTTCACTTGCAAATGTGCTTCGCGCCACAACGGCGTGCACTTTTTCGACATCGCAACTTCTAAAAGTGGTCCGACGTTGGTGTGCTCCGTGCATTTTGACTTCGAAATGTGCTTCGTGCCACAATGGCGTACACTTTTTCGACATCGCAACTTCTAAATCTGCTCCGAAAGTGAGGTGCTTGTGTAGCTTTTTGACTTGCAAATGTGCTTCGCGCCACAACGGCGTGCACTTTTTCGACATCGCAACTTCTAAAAGTGGTCCGACGCTGGTGTGCTGTGTACATTTTGAATTGGAAATGTGCTTCGCACCACAACTGTGTGCAATTTTTCATCACTCATCTGGCCAGATGGTTCCGCACCCGCCGCTTTAGCGAGCCTACTTTTCGACCAGAAGGCTCCCGGAAGCTCCCAGAAAGCTTCCAGAAGCTCCCACAAGCTGCCAAAGGCTCCCAGAAGCTTTCAGAAGCCTCAGAAGCGTCCAGCAAAATCTCCGGAAAAGCTCAGAGGCTCCCAAAGGCCCCCGGAAGCTCCCAGAAGCTTCTAGGAAATGTCCCGGGCTCCCAGAAGGCTCCCAGCCACAAATCATTGGAGAAACACAGTGAATCGCGACTTTCCTACCTTTTCGTGCATCTGCATCTTCTTTCTTCTCACTCTTTCTCTTCCCTGATCTTCTCTCTTCTTCTCCCCTTCTCTGACTGTTCCCACCTCTGCTTTTCCATTTGTCCATATTGTCGGAAGTTTGACTTCTAAACTTCTTTCAGTGATCATGATTATCATGAGTATCGAGCCTCGTGTTACAGGAGCATTAACCATCATCAAGCCAAAGCCTGACCGTTCCATGACTAGCAGAACGAAATCCAGAAAACATCTGCTCCAGAGTGGCACAATTGACAATTGTTCATCCCCCACTTCAAATCATCCCACAGGAGACAAAGTGGGAGCGCCCTCCCCAGATGTGAATGGGATTGTACGGGTCAGCAATGCTACTACCTATACTTAATGAACGCCAGGGAGTGTTCAAAATCCCGGTTGGTTGATGATATTTTCGGAGCTTCCAGTATCAAATTGGTTGTGTGGGGATCAGCATACTATGAGAATCCCTATTAAATGATATTAAATACTGGATATGCTGATCCTGGGGAAAAATGATATATGATATAAATGATATATGATATCAGCATACTATTGTCAAATGATATTAAATGGAGGAAAAACAGACAAATAAAAAGAAGCAGCCCCAGGATCCAAAGAAACCCCAAGACTCCTCCCCTGTCAGTTGTAGCATCTCTGCCGCAGCCCAATTGTCGATCACTTCTGAGTCCGTCTTGGGCCTAGCGCAGACAAAGGGCTTGAAACCATAGGATTTCAGGGTTACAAACTTTAGAAAGTGCCCCATTTGGCAGTGTGTCAAAACCTTGTACCCCTGGTGAACATCAAAATAGCTGGTAAATGGATGTTCATCCCCCTAAAAATGGTATTAATAGGTATTGATCCATAGCCATTTCGCGGTATTTGCGCGGATCAGTCAAAAAACAAGGAACAGAAACGTGCAAAACATGTCCCAAGCGTGGCCCAACCCTCAAAACTTTGTTGATCGTGATCCATTCGCCAACCAATCTATCACAGCCAGCCGACTCAGCAAACTGGGAAGATGGTGTGAGTATCTGGGAAGATGAAAGACACCCTGGCAACATATCTTGGTCACTTCTTGTACATCATATACGCGATATATATATATATATGTATATATATACTTAGAATATGAAATAGTATAATCTAGTATAACATAACAAAATCTCATGTAAGATAATATACAGCAATAATAGATTATATAATGCACAAAAAAATACTTGGAGATAATCTACTATATAGAGTGTATTACCCATACCTGTTTTAATCCAATCTATGGTTTCATCCAGTCAGTCTTAAGCCGAGCAATGTGTAGATCCATCTGTTCAAGCAAAATCCAGTAGCGCGTGAAGTCTATTGAAATCGATCAGAGACGAGTCACAGCTCAACGAAACATCACCACATATCACCACAATTCTTGAACATGCAGCAAAATAAACCATTTCATGTTTCAATGGCACTGTTAAATTATAGTGTCACTATCATAAACATGATAAACATCCACTGGATAGTGTCACTGATCAATGGCAGTTCAATGCCTGTGCTGTGCCGTTCCGGTTTATCCTCTGAGGCGCACCTTGATGAAGACTTTTTGGACCTGGGGCATCGGCGCAGCATGTTTCTCAGGGGGGTCATTTACCGCATTAAATGTGCATTTTAATTGGAACATCATCTATATATATATATAATATGTATGTCAAATATATATATATATACACATGCGGAAATATTGATTGCCATGTTTGATTGCTAGAGTGTACACTCCTTGCATTAAAGGCGGATGCATGACACGTAAATACCAAATGATTGCTTCCTTTCTCTCCTTGCCGTTGACTGCCCATGGCTCTTCTGAAGCAATTCCCACTGAAGGTTGAGACTAAAAATTGATAAATATTGCCAATAACCGTGCTTCCCAAAGTCCAAGAAGTTTTGACCCATTCCCATTCCCACCCATCTACTATCTATATATAAATGTGGTGAAATGGTCGATCACTTTTGTGGTGAATTCCCATCAATAGTCCACCTGAAGATTCAATAATCAGTACCCAAGGGGCCTAGGGGGGTAAACCAACATAGATGTGGAATGCCTATGGTTTCCCTGGAATCTACAAATGCTGGATTTTCCACATCAAACTCTTGGTTCACTGGAGGGTAAGTCATCACCATTGTCATTCCTCCCAGGGTTTGGATTTCCCAAGTGGCGGCGTGGCTTTCTGCTCTGCGCCCTCCTTGGTGAAAATCCAACATGCTCCAACAGCTTCCCCATTGTGGCTGGTGATGTCACCATTTTGCATGTTACCATCTGGTTATGACTAACATAGCCATGGTATAGCTATAAAATGGCGATTTTCCATGGCTATGTTAAATAACCAGAGGGTAATTGTCCCATGAAATCACCTTTTTTGGGGACACACAATCTCCATGTTAAACCTCGATTTCAGATCATCGTTTGGGGCCCAGAATGTGGGGAGTTTGCTATGGAAGTCATATGAAGCCATGGCCCCATAGAAATAGATGATACCATGTTGACTGTGGTGAGAATTTATGATTTGCCGTTCTTTTTTCAATTGTGACTTTCCGCGACAGAGGGTCATATCACCATAGCTATTCCTGGTTGGGGCAGTTGTGAAAAACATCAGAATGGTGGGGAACCCATTCTCGGATTACGAAACAACAACAGTGATGAGATATAATCTGACTGTTAAATTGTGTTGTTGTAACTACATGATGGGTACCCTAGATATATCAAACATGATGCGCTTGTACATCAGATTATAACCTTAAGTATTCCATATATTGCTGGGGTTGACATTTGTGATATGGAGGTTTCCATACCAAAGGGGTTCCCTGAAATCATCCATTTATAGATGGGATTTTCCATGGTTTCCAAAGCATCCAGCTATGATTTTGGGGATCCCCCACTTATGGAAACCTCCATATAAGCTGATGTACTACCATCATCTCTGATTCATGGAGTTGTGAATCATCCATCCTGGCCAAAGAATCCATCGTTTGCTCGTCTTCGGGATGTGGAGATGGAGGGAACTCTACCTGCCCAGAGTGGTCAGCAGCAGTTTGAACACCATTAGTATGACAGTCATCACCATCATCATCATAATCATAACCATAATCATCACCAACATCATTGTCATTATCATAATCATTGTCATCATAATGTCACAATCAAAATCACCATTATCACCATCACTGTCGTCAACATCGGTGTCATCATGTTCATCATCGTTTTATGACGGTCATCGATCGAGGCGTAGACACATATATTTACTAATGTAGCATGACAGGACATAGGTACCACACTCTAAATACGATGAAGAAAATATAAGCTTGCATGGTGTGAACTTATATCATATCATATACTGTAACATATCATACAAGTGTCATACTGTACATAGACCTGCAACTTACACATCTATAGAATATTCAGTAATTACATGAATAAACTCGAAAATTGCAAAGTAGTTTTACATGCAAGTATATGGTTTAAAAACTGAAGCGGACTATATATAAACAGCATAGAATGTGAAGCTGCTATATACAAACAAAATGCATGTTGTGTAACAATACACAAAATTTACACCGTCTAAGACATCTATACAAACATATGATTAATACATAACATATCATCTATACGAGATACAATACATTCCATGTATGTCATAGCGTAAACATGATTGCATAATGTATCAACCTGAAATCAGTAGTAATGAGGTTGTCATGACAAGTAACCCATACACGTATATACATACAAACACATGTATAGATATATATATATATTATATATATTATGTATGATGTATGCATTTAATGTATGAGAGTTGGGCCACTAAGAACAGCCTTGTTGGTTGCGTATTTTATGGCGTTATACCACCTGTTTTTGGATTGTGAAAGAACCCATAGTGGGAACACAGACTGACCAACCTGTAGTTCATGGCATAATCAGGATACTGCTGTTATAGGGAGTTTTCCCAATGTAGGGATATTGAAGGAATTTACAATAATCCCGCTCCCTATTCCTATTGCTATATCTCCATTAAAGCCCCCCAAGGAAGCCGGCAAAATGAAAATAGCAATATGCACACATCTTATAAAATAACTATCTCATACTATATCCCTATTCTTTACCCCGTCGAAAAATCGTGCCAAGAAAAGGCCAAAAACATCCAATAGCTCCGTGAAAAATCGCCACCTGCAAGGTGGATCACCCTTGGTTGATCGGAACATCCCATGATTCCCAGATTGGTGGTGAATTCATCTGGTTGGTGGTTGCAACATGTTTCAACCCTTCTGAAAAATATGACTTCGTCAGTTGGGATTATTATCCCAACTGAATATGGAAAAATACCAACCAGTAATGATTAAAACCCATTGAATCCCACAAAATTCCCAAACTCCCCATAAAAATGGGTGATTTCCCATATTTTCCCCATCAAAATTCCCACATTTGTTCCACTAAGCACCGTTAAAATTCCCATTGATGATTGATATGGTTAGTAAAAACACCATTAACCATTAACCACCAATAGTTAGACATTAAAATTCCACTAACCACCATTAAAATCCCATTAAACACCATTAAAATCCAATTAAACACCATTAAAATCCCATTAAACACCATTAAACTCCCATTAAAGTCCCATTAAACACCATTAAACTCCCATTAAAATTCCCATTAAAATTCCCATTGATGTCTCCACAAATGGATATAATTTCTGCGCCTCCAAAGCCTCTGAGAGGATGGGCTGATTCGATGGTCGAGCCACAGCCAGCGGCGAATCCAAACAGCTCTTCTCCTCCAACTGCGTTCTGCAAATTGTTTGTTTACTGCTTTTGGATGGGATTTTAATGGTGTTTAATGGGATTTTAATGGTGTTTAATGAAATGTTAATCGTGCTTAATGGAATTTAATGGTGTTTAATGTGATCTTAATGGTGTTTAATGTGATTTTAATGGTGTTTAATGAAATTTTAATCGTGCTTAATGGAATTGAATGGTGTTTAATGTGATTTTGATGGTGTTTAATGGGATTTTAATGGTGTTTAATGGAATTTTAATTGTGTTTAATGAAATTTTAATCGTGCTTAATGGAATTTTAATGGTGTTTAATGTGATTTTAATGGTGTTTAATTGAATTTTAATCGTGCTTAATGGAATTTAATGGTGTTTAATGTGATTTTAATGGTGTTTAATGGGATTTTAATGGTGTTTAATGAAATTTCAATCGTGCTTAATGGAATTTAATGGTGGTTAATGTGATTTTAATGGTGTTTAATGGGATTTTAATGGTGTTGAATGGGATAATGGGATTTTAATTGTGTTTAATGGAATGTTAAGTGTGTTTAATGTGATTTTTATTGTGTTTAATGGAATTTAATGGTGTTTAATGTGATCTTATTGGGATTTAATGGTGTTTAATGGGATTTTGATGGTGTTTAATGGGATTTGTATGGTGTTTAATGGGATTTTAATGGTGTTTAATGTGATTTTAATGGTGTTCAATCGAGCTTTAATGGTGTTCAATGGGATTTTAATTGTGTTTAATTGTTTTTTAATGGTGTTTAATCGGATTTTAATGGGATTTTAATGGTTTTAAATTGGATTTTAATTGTGTTTAATGGGATTTTAGTTGTGTTTAATGGAATATTAATGGTGTTTAATAGAACTTTAATCGTGGTTAATGGAATTTTAATGGTGTTTAATGGAATTTTAATGGTGTTTAATGAAATTTTAATCGTGCTTAATGGAATTTTAATGGTGTTTAATGTGATTTTAATGGTGTTTAATTGAATTTAAATTGTGTTTCATGGGATGTTAATGGTGTTGGTGTTTGATGGAATTTTAATGGTGCCTAATTAAATTTAAATGGTGTTTCATGGTATGTTAACGGTGTTTAATGGGATTTTAATGGTGTTTAATTGGATTTTAATGGTGTTTAATGGATTTTTAATGGAATTTTAATGGGATTTTAATGGTGTTTAATGGAATTTTAATGGTGATTAATGGATTTTTTATGGTGTTTAATGGAATTTTAATGGTTTTTGATGGAATACTAATGGTTGTTAATGGGATGTTAATGGGTTATATAGTTACATGGGATTTTATATAATAGGTTACCCTCTGGTAATCAAACATGGTTTGCTGGAAATATCTTCCATTCATAGTTGTTTCCATTAAAAAACCTCCGTTTGGTGTGTTTGATCACTCAAGGGTAATTCCATTAATCTCCATTTATTCACCAAATATTGACCAATCATAACCACGAATTAATCACCATCAATATGAACCATCATTACCATGAATCAAGGGTAAATCCGTTAATCACCATCTATCAAAAAAAACTGATTATTAACCATAAATCCGTTAACCATCATTAACCATTATTAACCATTATTAACCATAAATCCGTTGATGTACTTTATATACCAGCAAACTAACATAGCTATGGATAAGCCACAAGTTGTAAATCATTTCCCAGGGAAACCCATGGAATTCCGTCGCTATGTTCGTCTACCAAAGGGTGTAGAATATATATATATATATGATAAATGGATATATGTAGTACGTAAATACGTGATGTAAATATTGTATATATATATATACATATTATATATATATGTATGGATAGCTGACATTGGGCATTCTTAATCATCTTAATCCAAACAGCTGTTTCAGGCGATCGTTTCACTAGAATCTGTAACCATGAATGGTATGATGGCTCGAAGCCCGTTGAACGTTGCAAGGTGTAGCCGGTTGCCAACGGATGTTTCTTTGGTTGATCATATTTTTTTCTAGCAAACCCAATATAGATAGACAAGTGGGAAACCTGGGAATATGATGAAATATGAAGAAAACATCATCACACGGTGAATTCTTGAGTTTGTGGGGCGATTTTTCCATTCGAGTTCGTTTCAAATGATGGGAAATCAACCAATAAGAATGCGAATATCATTGATAATTACAACGAGAACGGGATCTTCCCAGGTCTTTGCTTGATTCTTGTTGGGATATTGGGGTTTTTTGCATCTTGTTGTCAACAATACTCCATGAAAAAATCATCGCTCAAAATTCATGATGATTTTGAAACTTGCTAGTGAAAAGAAGATATACCAATGGAAAGTTGATGGTATTTCATGATCAATTGAAAAATGATGTTGCTATTCTATACCAATTCAGGACGAACAAAAAACACTAAAACACATAGATTCCATACCGCCCCTTCCATACCGCCCACTGATGCCCACTATCCAAACCAAGTTGCTAAGGCCAAGGCTTTTTTGCTTCCACTCGATCGGCAAGCACTAAGCCTCCATACCCACATGGGGGTTCCTAGAATGGGGGTACCTCCAAATCATCCATTCATAGATAGGATTTTCAATTCTAAACCATCCAGCTATTGGGGATCGCCCATTATGGAAACCTCCATATAAGCTGATGTACTACCATCATCTCTGATTCATGGAGTTGTGAATCATCCATCCTGGCCATTTATGGAAACCCCCACATAGCCATAAGAATCCATAGGACATGTTTTGGGCCACAAATTCACCGCAGGACACCCATCCTGACGGCAGCATGACAAGGCATACTCCCTTGTGCTACAGGGTGTTGGATGGCCAATATTGGCCAATATCAAACAGAATCATAGATGTTATGATGTTATATATATATATAGTTGTTTTATATAGATATATATATATATATCTATATATTGGAATTGGTCCCTAAAGATCCGTCAATTTCTGTACTTTTAGTAGCCATCCATCATCCATCCGTTCTGCTCATCTTGGGCTTCCCAGGTCCCATGTCCCCAGATTTCTGGTCACTGATTCCGATTTTGTGCCCAGCTTCCTGGGCACCAAGTCCTCTTCGTGGATCTCCGCTAAGATCTGCACCGGTGCGTCACCAGCCAGAACGGTGTTTTTTTGCTGAGAATCATACGCTTTTCAAGCTGCCAAAAAGATAGAACAGCTAAAGGAGAAACATGTTTCACATATCTTTCTTTGTTTTGTTTAATTGTTGTATGTTGCTATAGTGGATATATAGGAAACCACAAACTTATTATACAAAAGATTGGATGTTCCCCCGAATAGGAATCTCCCACCAACTGGGAGATCATGGCTGTGGAATAGGCATTAGTCGGCTTAGCAACGTTTCTGAGTTTCATCCGCAGGGGAAACCCCCAAAACCATTTTCAATCATGTTGACCATTTCCCCAGGCTTGTGAAAAATCCCTATGATTGCTGGTCACCCTCCGAAAATTTAACATAGCGACAATTCAAAAATGTTTACTAAGTAATCATCTATGGTTTAGTTTCCATAGCTATGTCCACAGGGTAAATCTCCATTTACCATGAATTATCAGTATTACCCCTTAGTAACAATGAATAATCATTAATAATCATTAGCAATCATGAACAATCAGCTGGAAATCCAAAAACAATTTACAGATCCCATGAATTCTTGGTGGTTAAATCCAGGAATTGAGTGGTGGTCCAATTCCTAAACCCCCAACAGCGCCTGCACTTCGGAGGCGTCGCTTGGGGATCCAGGACATGATGAGATGGTCGAGGATGACTCTCTCCTGGTGCGCGAAATCGCCCCAGTAGGGGGCCACTGGACATGCTTCAATGTACCATCTGGTTATGACTAACATAGCCATGGAAAATCCCAAAAATAAATGGAGGTTTCTAGCTGGGAAAATCATCTATAAATGGGCCATTTTTCATGGCTATGTTAAATAACCAGATGGTAGTACACCGATTAGTGTCCTGGTACCAAATTTTGTGTGTTTTTCAACGATAAAATAATGGCTCCTGAAATTGAGGAGGGTGGGCCTCTGTTGTGTGTGTTTTTTTTTCTCAGACCCAATTTGTTCAGGACAAGCAGCAAATCAGGTCCAATAAAAATTACTTTACTTCGAGTGATCCCCACCATAGCATTTCAAGGCATATATTCTGACACTTTACCTAACCTGCTATCTGACATTCTGACAGTCTATCTGCCATTCTTTCTGGCGTTCTATCTGGCATTATATCAAGAGCTTGTAGTTGAGGTCCGGCGGGGACCACTGCGATCTAGTGCTTGCAGTTGAGGTCCGGCGGAGGAGGAGCAGGAGGCGGGAGGTGGAGAAGGCCGGAGGCGGGCGGGACAGCTGACATACAATCTAACAACCCTCACCTGGTTGGGGAAATATCGTTCTTGTAGGTCCAGTCCCTTCTTGGAGTATGTTCTTCCTCAAGCGTAAAAACCTTTTGTCCACCCTTCCTCTTCTTATAGCTGTTGTATCTTGCTCACCCCAATGATATATTGAATCTTCAAAATGTCAATTTCTTCAAATGATTAACTTCCTTATTAAGCCATTATTTTAAAAGAAACACCCAAGCAATTTGCAAGAGGGTAGCCCATGAGTGGCTCGGATCCTCAATAAATCTCAATAATATATATTTTTGTTGGATGGTACTCTATTGTGCCAAGGAATTTCTGGGGTAAAAAAAAATATCTTATAACCTTTCTTTGGGTAAAGCTGTTACTTGTGAAGTCCTTACTTGTCCTTAGATGTTTTTCGGGTTTAAAAGGAAAAGCAATTTAAAGTAGATTGATATAAATTGAAATCCTTACTCATTGATAGATTTCCTTCTGGGTAAAAAAGGAAACCAATTGAAAGTAGATTGACATGAATTGGAACCCTTACTTGTCTTTAGGTTTCTTTTTGGTTCAAAAGGAAAATGAATTGAAAGCAATTTGATATGAATTCAGATCCTTACTTATCCGTCTATTTCTTTTGGGTTCAAGAGGAACATGAATTGAAAACAATTTGATGTAAATTGAAATCCTTATTAATCCTTTGAGATCTTTAAGGTTCAAAAGGAAAATCAATTGAAAGTAGATCGATTTCAAATGAAGCCCTTCCTTATCAATAGATTTGTTTTTAGTTTCCAAAAGAAAATGAATTGATCGTAGATGGAAATGAATTGCAATGCTTACGTATCCTTAGATTTCGTTTAAGTTATAAAAGAAAATCAATTGAAAGTAGATTCAAATGAATTGAAATCCTTACTAATCCTTAGATTTGTTTCAGCGTTTCGGAAAATCAATTGAAAAGATGGGCAAATCCTTAGATCCTTATATCAATTGAGTCCTCCAGGTCAGACAATTTTATGAATCAACGGCTTGCTGGGGATGACCCTCAGTTCCCAGAATCCGATGGTTAAATTTTAAGGGACATCCACCAGTTTGAGATAACTTGGTTGAAATCACAAACTGTTTCACAGGCAATAGATATAACATGATATAACTTATATATATCCCACAAAAAAAATGAGGATAACCCAAGAAAAAACCAAAAAAAAGTTTGTCAGCAAACTTCCCATTATGATATTCCCCAGTGCATGAAGGGTAGTAGCATTACATAGTATTACCCCTAACCAATCATGATTCAGTAATGATCTTCCAGTATTTTGAATGGTCATCGGTGGACCCCATATCTTTGATCGTTGAGACATGATTATACACGTATAGACCACGGTTATCATCGGGAAATGGGATTTTTCAGGTTACCAATAAACATTAAATCTCTATAACCACTGTTATCACTGTTAATCGTCGCCGGGAAGATGAAATGGTCCTTATTTTATCATGACTCACCGAAGACTAACCTAAAAATAATGGTTACCCTCTGGTAATTTGTTACATAGCTATTGAAAATGGCCCATTTGTAATTGATTTACCTAATTAAAGATGGTGATTGTCCATAGTTATGTTAGTTTACCAGAGTGTATATCCTCATAAAAATCATCAGCCCGAGAAAATGGGAATCATCGTCTGGCCCAACGCCAGGACCATCTCGATACGGCCAAAATCTCATGCAGGGCTTTGTGAAAAGCTAACCGTTGCGATGCTTCCAACAATGCTTTTTGCAGGGAAGAACATCCCCAATTATCTCCAATTGATAAAGATGTTTCGGATTTGTTCCCATCAAAACCTGCATTTTCCATGATACGAGCCAGCTATAAAGGTTTAGATACAGTATGTATGTGTATATATATATATACATATATACAGTATATATACCAGCTAACCAGCTATCGATTCAACCATCCCCTCCCCACAGGTGGTTGCCCAAATATTTCTGGGTCAGCCGGGGTCAGCTGATTGGGAGTTGAATCGCCATGAAGGCTAATCACCAAACCATCTACCCTCTGGTTATGTCATAGGAAAACCATAGGAAAATGGTGATTTAATGGTGATTAATGGGATTTAATGGGATATATCCTCTGGTTATGTCAAAATAGCTATTGAAAATGACCATAGAAATAGTGGATTTTCCCATTAAACATGGTGGATCTTTCAATAGCTATGTTAAAGTACTTTAACATAGCCTATGCATAGCTATGGAACATCATCATCACCGCGGCTTCCGTGGCAAACTTTGAGTTTTCTGGAGCACCATGATGATCAATAATCCATTAATACCCCCATCATGGCACCATGGAATATCCCTATCATAGCTGTGGGATAGCGTTAGCAATTCTATGTAATTTTCATAGTTGACCTAAATCCATTGGTAAATCATCATTATCCATCATTATCCCCATCAAAAAGGCGGGATTTCTTGCATTGTTTTTCATGACAGCAGGATAACTCTCTATCAACAGTCCATTCATATCCCCATTATATCTATATCTCCATTATAGCTATGGAAAATCCCTATAAAATATCCCCATTCTATCCGCACTATATAACCATCATATCCCCATTATAGATTCATGAAATTTCATTAAAATCCTTTCAACTCCATACTCATGTTGGTGATATCCATGATATCCCCATATCCATCTTCTTCAAAGCTCTCCAAAAGCCGCTAGGAGTTCCACCTGCCATCCATTTGTGCCATGTACTTCGCCATATTTCGTCGGTGCGACTGCAGGGTGGCTCTTAGGGCCTCTTGGTGCCGTTCGGCCATGGCTAACCTGAAGCTTGGCTGGGGGGCAACGTAAACATTGGTAAACCCAATGCCATAAACCTAGTAGACCTAGCATCCGGTGATGATTTGAGGAATTGGGTTTACCACACTGTGTATATAGGTCTATATAATCTTATTAGAAAAAGATCTCGTCTACATAAATATGATAGGGAAGGAAATGACAAATGATTCTTTAAAAAAATGATAAATACTGTGTTAATATATATATATTGTGGAGGATACCCCATGTTCAGTTATATAGCAATTTGGACGTTTGGACACGCAGAAGACTGATAATTTCTAGGATCTACAACTTGGGAGTCAACAATTTTGGCATGAACCCAAAGCCGGCCGGGAAAGATCATGAAGGAAAAACACGTGACCTGCTGAAGCAGTATGGCCATTGGCCAGTGAAACCAAAAGAGGATCCAACGGACCCAGAGGAGGGAGAATATCAGAGACAAGATGTCTGGATTCTATCAGTTGAAAAAGAAACGTTTGAAAGTTTATAACAAGAAAAAGTCGGGGACTCAAACTCAAACCACCAAAATGATCCAAAATGACATTTCACGTGCCAACGTTGGGATTAGAATCAGCAAAAGTGACAAATACCAACAGAACTGAATATGAAACCAGAAGAGCGGTGATACTATTACCTTTTGCAAGCAGGAATGGTAAACAGTACGTTTCGAAATTCTTGATGTCAGCTTCCCTGGTAGTGGCTCCAACTGGGGACATTGCCAAAAAAGTGGACTCTGCCTCTAATGAGTCTACTGAGGATCAAAACAGCTGTTATTAAGGCTATTCATCCGCAGAAAAAAAAGTATCATAAGGTTCTTTTGAGAACCATGAATAATGAGGAGCATTGGCTCTGTGTTCAGGGCCACCTCTTTGCTAATTTTTGTTACTGTAGCTGCTGCTCTGTTTTGTGACACATTCAAGTTCTACGGCGGAGCACCCAGCCGGAACATGAAGGGCAATGCAGCCAAAGGTCAGCTGAGCTTTGCAATGCAGGGATACAGATGCTACGTTTGGCTGCTCTTTCATGCGAACAGACAGACAGTCAAATCAAAGTCAAAGTGAATACCGTCTGATAATTTAACATTGATATAGCTATGGCACAGTTCTTAATTAAATTAAGTGACTCGTCTATTTTTATGGACCATTTACCATAGCTATGTTGAATTACCAGAGGGTACCCCAACAATCAAAAGGCGTTGACACAAATATAAAAGCCATATTTTGAACGGGTACAGGAACACTTTGATTTAAGGATTTAACCATCCGTACCCAAAGACCCACATGCCCAAGTCGAAACAAGATAGAAGAAAGAACCAACATATATGGGGATTGGTCAAAACCCTATCCCCCTGGTGAACATCAAAATAGCTGGTAAATGGATGTTCATCCCCCTAAAAATGGTATGTATAGGTATTGATCCATAGCCATATCATTAAGTATTATCTCATCTGGGAAAAAAAAAACAAGATATATTCAAAAAATGCCAAAAAATATCTTCGCTAGGCCACAAGTCCTCTTCCAAGCTCAGCAATGGCCGTTGAAAGACATCCTCGTAGCCTGACAGGGCTAAGATGCTAAGATGGCTGAAATGGGTGGTTCTTTTTTTTTACCATCCCCGAGGTAGTTATGGCATTAGGATTACCACATTAATTAACCCAAAATAATATCATTTAATATGTATATATATATATATAGATATTAATTATATATACACATATATGGCAGTGTGTCAAAACCTTGTACCCCTGGTGAACATCAAAATAGCTGGTAAATGGATGTTCATCCCCCTAAAAATGGTATTAATAGGTATTGATCCATACCCATATAGATATAGAATGATATAGACTTACCTTCATCTTAGGTATACAGTACAGGGAAGTAGATTCTGCTGACTCAGTGGGTGTTGTGGATGGCTGGTTTGTAACCTGTCAGTGGGGATATCCCATCTATCCCTGTGGTCTGCGCCTGGACCGTCCATCCTGTGGTCAGGCTCCACTGCAAGTGCAGGCAATCGAAACCCAGGACAAATGCGACAATTCTCTTCTCAGACTTGTTGCGACAAATTCAGGGATAATTAGAGAAAATTACAGAATGATCATGGTGCCATGTCATACCATCATACTACCTTTGCCGGTCGGACCGAGCTTCTTGAGCCAGCATCCAAAGCACCAAAAGTCGCAGGACATGGATCTGCCTTACCTGAAACGAGCCTGGAAGGAGATTAAGCAATCCGACGAAAATGATGTTCCATGAATTTTCCTCTGGAAAATGAAGGATTTAGCCTGCTAAATCATTTAGCCTTCTGACCATCTGCTCCATCTGCGTGTCTCTAGATTGCTTCTCAAAGTCAAGGGCTTCTGAACTGACAAGGTCTGCTGCCGAAACATCTCATTTTCCCTTGAATATCGCCATTTGTCGCTCAAATACTCAAACAGACCAACACTTAACAACTCTGAAAAACGTTACATCCACCGTTTTCCACATGGTAAATTCTGCACGTTATTCCATGGTCCACACTTTGGATGTCCCGTGCCGCAACGGGCCCCGGACATGGCCAAAGTGGCAAAGGCCCAGCCGATGTTCGCCAGGCCCTGTGGGGTAAAGTCCTGGCTATGGAGCTATGGATGGTTTAAGTTATCAGATTAGCTAACGGTGATGTTTAATAGGATGTTTAAGAGGATGTTTATGCTAGTTCTATAGGTGTCATAGCTATTTTTCATATTGGTCTAATTAGTTCCTGGATGTTCTTAGTATGATTTATGGTGCTAGTGTGTACTTTATGTTTTAGTTTTTATGCTACGTAGTAAAGAATTAAATATTACGTATGATCAGTTGTGGTTAGTACGTGTTATTAGTTATTACTTGATATGGATAACGGTACTAATCAGCAAAATAGTTACATATAAATAGCGTATATCACTTGTAATTATCAAGAGTGATTAGCTATGTTATTACAATGGATGTAATGGTTGATAACAATCTGATAACATCAATAAGCATCAACAGTAGTTGCTTACTATTAATAGATATTCCCAATAGTAAATAGTTATAATAACTATTAATATGTCAATTAGTCATGGGTATAGTTATGTGGATATGAAAAAATGTGGCCAATACTTAATAGTTGTGGGATGTTATGGGCTAGTACTGGGATATGTGATATGTGTCTTGTTTTCTGGGGATATTCGCGGTGTTTGAAAATCCCAAGGGTAATGAATGGGATACTTTCTGGTAATTTAACGTAGCTTTTGAAAATGACCATTAATAGTGGATTTTCCCATTAAAAATGGTGATTTTCAATAGCTATGTTAGTTTACCAGAGGGTATGTATCGTGGTGGAGATGTTTGATCCCATGCTAAGTTGCTTTAACTTTTGGTGGGTTGTGCTAGATCCATCAAAAAATGTCATCCAAAATCAGAAATTAACGGGATATGAATAGGATGTTGTGGGGATCTACCTTCAATTGATGGCTGTGTGAATTCAAAACGGCCAATTACTGGTATATTTGTGGGAAAATCAATAGGCATGTGGGGATATACTGGGATATGTCTTCAATGGTTGGGAATAACATAAAGTCTTGTTATGTTTCCTTGAAGGGATATTGACGGGGATAGTAATGGGATGTCAAAACTGGGTGTTTTCAAAGGGAACTTGTTATGGGATCATGGGACCATTGGGCCATGGGAATATGAACCAACCACTTTTTGGCTAATTATTTGGCTGAAACCAGATGGGATGAAAGCAACAACATCCCATCCCTGAGGGATACTGTGAAAATTGGCTGCATCTCTTGCTTTTTTGGGGTACCATTGTACCACTTTAGGAGAGTTTACCACAGGGAAAATATGAAAAAAAAAAGGTGATCAGAGCCCACATGTAAGACAACCATCATGTCTTAACCACAGGCAAATCTGTTCAAAACTCGCATTGAGGCCCAGCAACATGGTGAATCAACAAAAACTGATAAATATATTGGGAAACCAGACAAACTGTGAATTCAAATAGAACAAGATGGGAATGTACTCTGAAATGGTGACCATAGACAGAGGGAGGGTTTAGGGATCATCCGATTTGGATGACGTTTCCGCCATGACGACTTGAAACCATCAGTTCCGCCCATCAGAAAAGTTCAGTTGGTTACCCTCTGGTAACTTAACATCTTGAAATTTGGCATTTGTAGTTGATTGCCCTATTAAAAATGTTTTTTTCGTCCATAGCTATGTTAGAGATGTTAGTTTACCAGAGGGCATACCAATCTCCAGGTATTTCCATGGTATTTCCATGGTATTTCCATGGTATTTCCATGGTATTTCCATGGTTCTTCAATCCCCGACCTTGGCATTTCGGGCCACCTCATGGGCTATGTGATCCTCAGGCACAGAGGCACGCGGAAAACCGCTTCGGATAATGTGACTTTTTTATGTCAGAAAACATGTCAGAAAACATTTTTTTTTCCCAAATATATATATATATATAGTGTCCCCCAAAAAGATAGAAAAGTTACAACCTGAAAAACGACGGGAATTTTTTTCAGGTTTGCAAACTTTTCTATCTTTAGTATCGACTGTAAATTTACAGGGTTTCCTTAATTTTGATGATTTTAAGTGCACAATTCCTTGTAAATTTACAGGCGATACTAAAGATAGAAAAGTTTTGCGCCATAAAAATGATCGAATTATGTTTTCTTTTCACATATATGCAGACGATACTAAAGATAGAAAAGCTTGGAAAAGCTGAAAACCCTGTAAATAGCCCACTTTTCCCATTTCCCGAGCCTACAGCTGTGATGGTTCCGTCTTTGGTCCATGTTCTCAGAAAGGGTTTGGCCTTTTGAAAGACCATTGTGTCCTTGTTGCACTCTTGAGCAGCCCCTTGCATTTTGTCGGGCTATGGCTCCCAAAAAGTCTTGCCAAAGTTGGCCCTTGTTTCAGCAAACAGTTTCTGCATCTTTTCTATCTTTAGTACCCCCTACCTATTTGCATCCTTTACCACACAAACTGGGTCAGAACCTGCATGTATTACTTTTCAATTTTCGGGGCCCCACCACGCATTTCGCAACCTTAAAAAGAAACAGAATGCACACCAAGTCAAGGGTTTCATTTTTGTTGTTCATGTCTTGTGCCTTCAAAATCTTTGCGTGTTTTTGAATAGACATGCTGGGTCAATAATTGCATTTGTTGCTTTTCTATCTTCAGTACCCCCCACCTGTTTGCCTTGTTTGCTGCATCCCCCGGGTTCAAACTATGTGTGCAACTTTTCTATCTTTAGTATCCCCCACCTATTTGCGTGCTTTACCATCCATACTGGGTCAGAACCTGCGTGGAACTGCATGTATTACCTTTCACTCTTCGGGGCCCCGCCGCCTATTTACATGGCTTCAGACTTCAGTTTGGATAGATTTTGCAAAGAAAGCACAGGCTTGCAAAGACATGAAACAAGCAACCAAAAAGAGGAAAACGAGATCCAGCATCCAGCCCCGATCCCGCGCTTAAAAACCTTTGAAGAAAGGAGGCTTTTGAAAGAACAGCATGCAAAAAAAATGCAAAAGAGGAACCCAGGACCAAGATCCAACGAAACAAATTGCATTTGTTCAATGCACCCCGAGTCAAAGTTTTCATGTGTGCGGTTCATGTTTCGTACCTTCAAGCTATTTGCATGGTTTAGACACACATACGGGGTCAAAAAATGTATTTGTTGCTTTTCTATCTTCAGTACCCCCCACCTGTTTGCCTTGTTTGTTGCATCCCCCGGGTTCAAACAATCATTGCAACTTTTCTATCTTTAGTATCCCCCGCCTATTTGCGTGCTTTACCACCCATACTGGGTCAGAACCTGCGTGGAACTGCATGTATTACCTTTCACTCTCCGGAACCCCGCCGCCTATTTACATGGCTTCAGACTTCAGTTTGGATACAGTAGATTTTGCAAAGAAAGCACAGGCTTGCAAAGACATGAAACAACCAAAAAGAGAAAAAGGAGATCCAGCATCCAGCCCCGATCCCGCGCTTAAAAACCTTTGAAAAAAGGATGCTTTTGAAGGAACAGCATGCAAAAGAACTGCTAAGTAGGAACCCAGGACCAAGATCCAACGAAACAAATTGCATTTGTTCAATGCACCCCGAGTCAAAGTTTTCATGTGTGCGGTTCATGTTTCGTACCTTCAAGCTACTTGCATGGTTTAGACACACATACGAAGTCAAAAAAATGTATTTGTTGCTTTTCTATCTTCAGTACTCCCCACCTGTTTGCCTTGTTTGCTGCATCCCCCGGGTTCAAACAATCATTGCAGCTTTTCTATCTTTAGTATCCCCCACCTATTTGCGTGCTTTACCACCCATACTGGGTCAGAATCTGCATGTAACTGCATGTGTTACTTTTCAATTTTCAAGGTCCCACCACCCATTTACATGGCTTCAGACTTTACTTTGAACAGATTCTGCAATGACATAGCTGCCTTAAATAGAAGCAATGCAACCAAAAAAAGAAATCCAGCATCCACCCCTTAAAACCTTTGAAAAAAGGATGTGGTTGAAGGAATAGCACCCAACAGAACTGCAAAGCAGGAACCCAGGACCAAGATCCAACAAAACAAATGGCATTTCTTCAATGCAACCCAGGTCAAGGGTTTCATTTGTGGTGTTCATGTCTTGTACCTTCACGATATTCGCATGATATTCGCATGGTTTAGACGGGTCAACAATTTGCATTTGTTGCTTTTCTATCTTCAGTACCCCCCACCTGTTTGCCTGGTTTGCTGCATCCCCCGGGTTCAAACAATCATTGCAACTTCTGCAACTGTTCTATCTTTAGTATCCCCCACCTATTTGCGTGCTTTACCACCCATACTGGGTCAGAACCGGCATGTAGCTGCATGTGTTACTTTTTTATTTCGGTGCCCCGCCGCCCATGTTCATGTCTTCAGACTTGAATTCGAATAGATTTTGAAATGAAATAGCTGCCTTAAATAGAAGCAATGCAACCAAACAGAAACAAAAAAGGAAAATGAGATCCAGCATCCACCCCTTAAAGCCTTTGAAAGCAGGAACCCAGGACCAAGATCCAACAAAACAAATGCCTTTTCTTCCATGCACCCAAGGTCAACGGTTTCATTTGTGATGTTCATTTCTTGTACCTTCACGATCTTCGCATGGTTTAGACGGGTCAACAATTTGCATTTGTTGCTTTTCTATCTTCAATACCCCCCACCTGTTTGCCTTGTTTGCTGCATCCCCCGGGTTCAAACAATCTTTGCAACTTTTCTATCTTTATTATCCCCCACCTATTTGCGTGCTTTACCACCCATACCCATGCTGGGTCAGAACCTGCGTGGAACTGCATGTATTACCTTTCACTCTTCGGGGCCCCGCCACCTATTTACATGGCTTCAGACTTCAGTTTGCATAGATTTTGCAAAGAAAGCACAGGCTTGCAAAGACATGAAACAAGCAACCAAAAAGAGGAAAAGGAGATCCAGCATCCAGCCCCGATCCCGCGCTTAAAAGCCTTTGAAAAAAGGAGGCCTTTGAAGGAACAGCATACAAAAGAACAGCAAAGTAGGAACCCAGGACCAAGATCCAACGAAACAAATTCGAATTGTTCAATGCACCCCGAGACAAGGTTTTCATGTATGCGGTTCATGTTTCGTACTTTCAAGCTATTTGCATGGTTTAGACACACATACGGGGTAAAAAAATGTATTTGTTGCTTTTCTATCTTCAGTACCCCCCGCCTGTTTGCTTTGTTTGCTGCATCCCCCGGGTTCAAACTATATTTGCAACTTTTCTATCTTTGGTATCCCCCACCTATTTGCGTGCTTTACCACCCATACTGGGTCAGAACTGCATGTAACTGCATGTATTACTTTTCAATTTTCGAGGTCCCGCCGCCCATTTACATGGCTTCAGACTTTACTTTGAACAGATTTTGCAATGACATAGCTGCCTTAAATAGAAGCAATGCAACCAAAAAAAAGAAATCCAGCATCCACCCCTTAAAACCTTTGAAAAAAGGATGTGGTTGAAGGAACAGCACCCAACAGAACTGCAAAGCAGGAACCCAGGACCAAGATCCAACAAAACAAACGGCATTTCTTCCATGCACCCCAGGTCAAGGGGTTCATTTGTGGTGTTCATGTCGTGTACCTTCACGATATTTGCATGGTTTAGACGGGTCAACAATTTGCATTTGTTGCTTTTCTATCTTCAGTACCCCCCCACCTGTTTGCCTTGTTTGCTGCATCCCCCGGGTTCAAACTATGCTTGCAACTTTTCTATCTTTAGTATCCCCCACCTATTTGCGTGCTTTACCACACATACTGGGTCAGAACTGCATGTAACTGCATGTATTACTTTTCAATTTTCGTGGTCCCACCACCCATTTACATTGCTTCAGACTTTACTTTGAATAGATTTTGCAACCCCTTAAAACCTTTGAAAGAAGAATGTGTTTGAAGGAACAGCACCCAACAGAACTGCAAAGCAGGAACCCAGGACCAAGATCCAACAAAACAAATGGCATTTCTTCCATGCACCCCAGGTCAAGGGTTTCATTTGTGGTGTTCATGTCTTGTACCTTCACGATATTCGCATGATATTCGCATGGTTTAGACGGGTCAACAATTTGCATTTGTTGCTTTTCTATCTTCAGTACCCCCCACCTGTTTGCCTTGTTTGATGCATCCCCCGGGTACAAACTATATTTGCAACTTTTCTATCTTTATTATCCCCCACCTATTTGCGTGCTTTACCACCCATACTGGGTCAGAACCGGCATGTAGCTGCATGTGTTACTTTTTAATTTCGGTGCCCCGCCGCCTATTTACATGGCTTCAGACTTCAGTTTGCATAGATTTTGCAAAGAAAGCACAGGCTTGCAAAGACATGAAACAAGCAACCAAAAAGAGGAAAAGGAGATCCAGCATCCAGCCCCGATCCCGCGCTTAAAAGCCTTTGAAAAAAAAGAGGCTTTTGAAGGAACAGCATGCAAAAGAACTGCAAAGTAGGAACCCAGGACCAAGATCCAACGAAACAAATTGGAATTGTTCAATGCACCCCGAGTCAAAGTTTTCATGTGTGCGGTTCATGTTTCGTACCTTCAAGCTATTTGCATGGTTTAGACACACATACGGGGTAAAAAAATGCATTTGTTGCTTTTCTATCTTCAGTACCCCCCACCTGTTTGCCTTGTTTGCTGCATCCCCCGGGTTCAAACTATATTTGCAACTTTTCTATCTTTATTATCCCCCACCTATTTGCGTGCTTTACCACCCATACTGGGTCAGAACTGCATGTAACTGCATGTATTACTTTTCAATTTTCAAGGTCCCACCACCCATTTACATGGCTTCAGACTTTACTTTGAACTGATTTTGCAATGACATAGCTGCCTTAAATAGAAGCAATGCAACCAAAAAAAGAAATCCAGCATCCACCCCTTAAAACCTTTGAAAAAAGGATGTGGTCGAAGGAATAGCACCCAACAGAACTGCAAAGCAGGAACCCAGGACCAAGATCCAACAAAACAAATGGCATTTCTTCCATGCACCCCAGGTCAAGGATTTCATTTGTGGTGTTCATGTCTTGTACCTTCACGATATTCGCATGATATTCGCATGGTTTAGACGGGTCAACAATTTGCATCTGTTGCTTTTCTATCTTCAGTACCCCCCACCTGTTTGCCTTGTTTGCTGCATCCCTCGGGTTCAAACAATCTTTGCAACTTTTCTATCTTTAGTATCCCCCACCTATTTGCGTGCTTTACCATCCATACTGGGTCAGAACTGCATGTAATTGCATGTATTACTTTTCAATTTTCGAGGTCCCACCACCCATTTACATGGCTTCAGGCTTTACTTTGAATAGATGTTGCCATGAAATAGCTGCCTTAAATAGAAGCAATGCAACCGAAAAAAAGAAATCAAGCATCCACCCCTTAAAGCCTTTGAAAGATGCTTTTGAAAGAATAGCACCCAACAGAACTGCAAAGCAGGAACCCAGGACCAAGATCCAACAAAACAAATGCCTCTTCTTGGATGCACCCAAGGTCAACGGTTTCATTTGTGATGTTCATTTCTTGTACCTTCACGATATTTGCATGGTTTAGACGGGTCAACAATTTGCATTTGTTGCTTTTCTATCTTCAGTACCCCCCACCTGTTTGCCTTGTTTGCTTCATCCCCCGGGTTCAAACAACCTTTGCAACTTTTCTATCTTTATTATCCCCCACCTATTTGCGTGCTTTACCACACATACTGGGTCAGAACTGCATGTAACTGCATGTATCACTTTTCAATTTTCGTGGTCCCACCACCCATTTACCCTCTGGTAAACTAACGTAACTATGGAAAATCACCATTTTTAATGGGAAAATCCACTATAAATGGTCATTTTCAATAGCTATGTTAAATTACCAGAGGGTACATGGCTTCAGACTTTACTTTGAATAGATTTTGCAACCCCTTAAAACCTTTGAAAGAAGAATGTGTTTGAAGGAACAGCACCCAACAGAACTGCAAAGCAGGAACCCAGGACCAAGATCCAACAAAACAAATGGCATTTCTTCCATGCACCCCAGGTCAAGGGTTTCATTTGTGGTGTTCATGTCTTGTACCTTCACGATATTCGCATGATATTCGCATGGTTTAGACGGGTCAACAATTTGCATTTGTTGCTTTTCTATCTTCAGTACCCCCACCTGTTTGCCTTGTTTGCTGCATCCCTCGGGTTCAAACAACCTTTGCAACTTTTCTATCTTTATTATCCCCCACCTATTTGCGTGCTTTACCATCCATACTGGGTCAGAACTGCATGTAACTGCATGTATTACTTTTCAATTTTCGAGGTCCCACCACCCATTTACATGGCTTCAGACTTTACTTTGAATAGATGTTGCCATGAAATAGCTGCCTTAAATAGAAGCAATGCAACCGAAAAAAAGAAATCAAGCATCCACCCCTTAAAGCCTTTGAAAGATGCTTTTGAAAGAATAGCACCCAACAGAACTGCAAAGCAGGAACCCAGGACCAAGATCCAACAAAACAAATGCCTTTTCTTGGATGCACCCAAGGTCAACGGTTTCATTTGTGATGTTCATTTCTTGTACCTTCACGATATTTGCATGGTTTAGACGGGTCAACAATTTGCATTTGTTGCTTTTCTATCTTCAGTACCCCCACCTGTTTGCCTTGTTTGCTTCATCCCCCGGGTTCAAACAATCCTTGCAACTTTTCTATCTTTAGTATCCCCCACCTATTTGTGTGCTTTACCACCCATACTCGGTCAGAACTGCATGTAGCTGCATGTGTTACTTTTCAATTGTCGGGGTCCCATGTTTGCAAAGTTTTCATCAGGAAATTTCTCCTCAAAATTTCGGTCAAAATTTTCCCGTCGGTTTTCAGGATGTCGGGTCAAAATTTTCCCGTCGGTTTTCAGGACGTAACATCCTGAAAAAACTTTTCTATCTTCTTGGGGGACACTATATGTATATATATATAATAGCTGGATCAACGGACTGGGGAACTTGCCAAATATATCCAGCTGGTTATAACTACCCAAATATCAACGGGAAGTTTTCTGCAGCTGGAAAAACATGCGAAAAACCAGCGACGATCGGCTCACCACGAAGAATCGAACAGAAGAACAGAAGGCAAAATGGTAAACGAACAAAAATGCCATTGAGAATTGAGAATCCCCATTTCATTCCTCCCCAGCTGAGTTGGCCACCAACAGACGATGTTCACTTCGGCCCTGTATGCCGAATTGGATGGTTTCCACAAAGGCTATGGAATCCATATGAAATCCATATGAAATCAATAAATCCATATGAAATTCATGGAAATGACTGACATCGTTTCCAACTGACATCGGGCTAAATCGCGGGGGGGTGGCATATTTTTGTAGCCTAGAACTCCCTGCTGTTGCTGATTAAACCATGCGATTTTTTCCCTGCTGTCCAGATTCAAACATAGATATATTATCTTTGGGGGTTTCCAAAATGGATGTTCCATACATATGTATATGATATAATTGTATGTGTATTGTGTATATATATATATAATACCCTCTGGTAAACAAACATAGCCATTGAAAATGGCCATGTATAGTGGATTTACCCATTAAAAATGGTGAAGTTCCATAGTTATGTAAACATTTACCAGAGGGTAAATCATCATTAATCCCCATTAATCACGATTAATTATCATTATGAACCATTATTAACCACTATTAACCACTATTAACATCATTATGGATTCCCCATACATACGGTGGATTTTCGCCTCATGGTCTGCCATTAGTTTGGCCATTGCCCAGGCGGTGTTGGCAAGGCCTGGGGAAACGGCGAGGCCTGGGGTGATCGTGTTGGATCTACTATGGTGATATCATGTGAAAAAAACATGGCACCACTATATATCTGGGTAAATTATAATATTTCACTAACCTGAATTAAGGCCATTTGGGGATGATTCCCCTTACTAACCATGATTTCCAGTGAGGTCGCAGTGAGGTCGTTATAATTTACCCAGATATATGGATTTTGAATGGGATTTTCATGGTGTTTAATGGGCTTTTAATGGTTCTTAATGGGATATAGGTGTATGGGATGTTTCTGGTTGGTGTACCTACCCCTCTGAAAAATGATGGAGTTCGTCAATTGGGATGATGACATTCCCAACTGAATGGAAAAATACAACATGTTCCAAACCACCAACACTATATGAGACTTGGGTATCTGTGAAAATGAGGGACTGACCCCCAATTTATGGCAAATTGGATGATGAAGCAGTGGATGGAATGGGTTACCCTCCTCAGACATACCCATATGATGTTATGTACGGTTTTTTTTCCAGTAAGTCCACTAGTAGTATATCTAAACATCCCCCGGGGTCGATCAACCATAGTCAATTAGTCAATCTTCAGTTCTGGTTAACTATCACCATTTATAGAATCAAGAAGAATTAAATCCCATGTCATTAAGTCATCAATTCTGATGGCTTAAATCCTATCCTGAACTATCACCATTTTTATGCTTTCTCATTGGTTAAATCATTTGTGAAATCGAAAATGACCATTTATAGTTTATTTACCTATTAAAAATTGTTATTTTCCAAGGTTATGTTAGCTTGCCAGAGGGTAAATCACCATTAATCCCCATTAGTCACCATGATATAATTATCATTATTAACCACTACTAACCACTCTTAATCACCATGATAATCCTCCAATTTTTTTATCCCCATGAATCACCATTCATTATCATTATTAACCACTATTAACCACTATTACCCTCTGGTAAATTAACATAGACCCTGGTAGTTGTTGGGGTTGGAAGATTAGTTTCCATTAAGAATTGGTGATTTTCAGGGTCCAACTGTTTATTTATCAGAGGGGTATATTATTACATTTAAGTGATATTAAGTGTAATGATATATGTATCTATATATAGATATAGATATAGTCTAATTCATTATCATTATTAACCATTATTAACCACTATTAAAACCACTCACTATTAACAGAGGCTCAATCCTTCAAATCCACCAGAATTTTTTCGTCCGCCTTGCGCTTTGAAGTCCGGCAGAATCTGCAGCGCCGTCCAGGCCACCGCCCGCGCCGTGCCGGTTGTGCCGTCCTGCCGGGCGACAGCGAAGCTCCAGGCCTCGGTAAATGGCGATGGAAAAGTCCTGGAAAAGCAGGGGACAAAATGGAGAAAAACCATGTTTTTTTGGGGAAAAATGGAGAAGAGCCATTGTTTTTTTGGGGAAAAATGGAGAAAAACCATGGTTTTTTGGGGAAAAATGGAGAAAAACAATGGTTTTTTATGTTTTTTTGGGGGAAAAAATAGGGAAAATCATGGAAAATCCTAAAGTTGAAAACTCTGAGATCGTTTTTGCTGATCAAATCTGGAACTTGGAAAGAACACCAGGGTCACTTGGAAAGATGCAAGAAGGCTCGACGCTTGAAACAATTGGGGTCCAATCCAAATCTTCATCATCAGAGTACTGAAGGTGCAATCAGACATATCAAACCATCTAACTGGATCTCTGAACCCATTGGCTTTTGTCTATAAAACTCATGAAAAACTTGGTGCTGCTTGAAGCAGCTTGGTGCACGTCCAATTGCATCCGAGGCCATGTTGAATCCATCCCCCATCAAAATATAAAAGCCCCAAAAGGAAACTGTGAATCTTGGGATAGCCGTGGGACATGAGAATTGCAGGTGATTACAGCAGACTGCTTAATATTTGTATTTATTTCATATATATATATATATAAATAAAAGGTTTTAAAAGAAAAACAATAAACAACAATTGATACATAACCCTACTGTACTGCATTGGAGAATAAAACTGCTAACAAACATTTAAAAAATGGGTGTGTCACGCCCATCCCACCAGCCAAGTCACCACATTGGAAAGGCCATGGCTATCTAACTCATTCAGCCTCTCCATAGCACAGGCGCCTAAGACCTGGAAAGCACAGTTCAACTTGTGGAAACCGTCAAAATCTTGCTGGGAAAAAGCATGGTTTTCCTATAGTTTCCTCTCTATTTCCCAATTGAAGTGGTAAAAATCCGGAAAGGACAATAAAAACATCAAAAGACTACAGTATATTCCCATCACCAGTCTATCATCCCCAAAGAGATAGAACAGTTTATAGATGGTCCAACGATTTTTCCGGGGGTCCAAGGCCTTGAGACTCCTGTGCACAGAAGACCAGCCACCCCAATCGGAAGCTGCGCCCCTCGGGGCGTAGCCCTCACAGGTGATCGGAAGATGATGATTGAACCAGTGGATGGGAGGCCCGAGTACCCCTTACCCTTCATGGGCCCCAAATTATACCTGATCGTATACTCCCCCATAGTTGGACCCTTTTCTGGACAGGCACGCTGTCAGGTCCCCATTTTTGCACGTTTTTTTCTGGAAACATCTTCTGCATCAATTGTCCATGGAATCATGAATATCATTTTTCCGCAAAAAATAGTCCAATATCATGTGAGCTATTGTGAGCTCACGCCATATTCCAAGTAGATGTTGACGGGCCCTGGGAAAAACAACTTACCTGAGCAGTGTTCAAAATCCCTATATCATTCCATTATACTGGTTGGTTTATAGATTCCCCTATTGGACTATTGTAATCCCCAATATATTGGGTAGTATCATCCCCTATAATCATCAACCAACAGGGGTTTTGAACACTGCTCACCTGCCTTTAGTCACCATGCTTTACAACTTGCACACCTTACATTATGGCAGAATAGCTCCCAGGGAACTAGCCTGGGGTGAACTTATGCCGGACATGTGTTTTCACCAGTTTGCGGTCCAAAAAAACATCGCAGTCAGTGGGCGACAGTGATCCACACTACACTAGACTATCACTATATATATATATGATATATCATTACACTTGATATCACTTAAATGTAATAATATATATATATCACTTATATGGAGAGCGCGGATTAAGAGCGAAAAAACGCTATGGCCATAGGCGCACCTCCATGCTATCAGACCATGGGCCCACCTTGGCCAACGCCCACCTCGCGCGGGAGGCCGTTGAAGAAGCTGCTAACAGGGACAACGCAACGAAAAAGTGTAAATACCATACATGATATACTACAGAATATATCTATATATTATGCATATCATACTAGCTTCAAAGTATATCATAAAACACTATAAAACATATATCATATATCATAGAATTATACATTCATAGATTATTAATGATAATCAGTGGTATGTTGCATATTTACCTATCACTGTATAAATTATTGTATATACATATGTAGTGTGTGTGTGTGTTTAGGACATAAAATAATCATGTTGCCTAACATGCAGCCGGTGCCCCTCAGCTCCAGACACCGCTTTGGAGACCTCCTTGACATGCGGCACTTCGCCCTGGGGTCCGGGTTGCACCTGGGCTGAGGTCGAAGGATTCGAAGGGGAAAGCAAAGGACCAACAAATTGAAGAATTTGGGGGCAAAAAAAACAGCTAGACTGCAAATGTATCTTACGAATTTCTAGAAATACCATGGCAAAATGTCTCAAAACATATTTACAAAATTCTACAAGCATATGTTATAATTCGATATAATTATAAAAGCCTGCATTGAAAATTGCGCTTTGTACCCTGAAAGGCAGGCATGAGATCCATAATCTTTCAAGTTCAGTATGATATGTAGCCACCTCAACACCAAGTGCAATCCACTGCTGTCCGCAGTCTCATGGAGCTTTTCCTTCCAAAAATGGATGGCTGGTCGGGTTAATATATCCCATCTATAGCAAAAGATTAAATTATAGTAAACTACATTAAAGTACACATCCAGTTGGTTTCACCCAAACATCGTATAATGTACATTTGTGTTGGGTATATCTCAATTTTCCTGAATGACTGGTGCTTATACCCGTTTATATTGGTGGCACTGGTCCTGGTCGGTTCATCCAGATAAAATATCAGCTTTTTTTCGCCATGTTTTCCTGCTTAAATCATGTTACTGTAAATTCCCATTTTTGGGGGTAAATGGATTTTTGCCACTTACCCGCGTGGGTAATCAAACATGCCTGGGATTTAGAGACCCAAAGTTCGATGAGTTTTATCCCAGGCTCTGCTTCTGCCGCGTTTTTGGCCAGCTCCGCCAGCTGCTCCCGCAGCGGCGCTGAGTGGCGCAGCTGTTGGAAATCTGTGGATTTGGCGATGCGATGCAATGCCACCACCAGATGCACCACATCGAACTCCTGTTTTGCAACTCGCAGTTGGTGATTTCTGGTCCAAGGATTTTCCTTGGAACCTTTTTTTACATGTTATTTTGAACATCTATATAATCATCTATATAGATTTAAGAATATCTAATTATACCGAAAACGCAAATCCAATATTATATAATCATCTAATTATACTATACTACTATAAGAACATCTAAATAAGAATATCTAATAATATCATCTACCCTCTGGTAAATTAACATAGCTATGGAAAATCACCATTTTTAATGGGAAAATCCACTATAAATGGTCATTTTCAATAGCTATTTTGACATAACCAGAGGATATCTTTCACCTATCTTCCGTCCCGGCGATTCCACCAACAAAACCCCCCCGGTCCTCGAGGTGGTCTTCGGAGGCCTGAAGCACCTCCCGCGTGGTCCAACTCTCAGCGAGCTCTTTGCTGATGCGCACACGGGTCTGCATCGGTGTCAGGTGAGCCATACGTAAGTAGCACTGGATGGCTACCCTCCGGTCATCGGGGATCACAAAAAAAAATGAAAAATGGTATATATGTCCTAATGATGGCTGGGATTGCCATGGTTAATATTTATTTACGATAGTTGTTTTAAACTACGAGATCGGGTAATTGGGAGGGTTTAATGGAAAATCTACCGTTGAAACCATGGTACCCTCCGGTAAACTAACATGGCTATGGAAAATAGCTCGTTGAGAGATGATTTACATATTGTCATATTGAAAATGGTAATTTTCCATAGTTATGTTAGTTTACTGGATGGTACAGGTGTTTCCCTATAATGTTTCCCTTAAATTCAAGCAATCATTCCAATGATTAATAGTTAGAACATGTTGGTTAATAGGTTGGTTAATAATTACATCCCATCCCATCATATAATATATCATTGGGTTACTAGGTAATTATCTGGTATCCCTATAATGTGTTATCATATGTCATGACCGATGACTATCCCCAACACACCAAATCTATCCAAATATGTATTATATATATCCAAATTGTATGGTACAAGTCGCTATCATAGCCAATCAACAGGGGTACCTTCAATGGCCCAGGAGTTGTACCTATTGTATTATATACGTTAATATATTATACTTGTTTAACGCCTTGATTGATAACCACGACTGTTCCAAAAACCGCCGGAACAGTCGTGTCTTCACAAAAACTTTCGGATTTCACCCAAATTCGAAAGCACTGCATCAGGACATGAAAAAGGGGTCACATCTGGCCAAAATTAGATACCAAAGAAGATCTCTGTTGCAATGGCTCAAAATTGCCAGCCATTCTCGCTTGACAGCCCCAAAATGCCCCAAATCACAAGCTGATCAGATCTGATCAGGGACATGGCTACTCTCAAATACCCTGCCCCCCCACCAAAAAAAAATAGCTGAGTTGTATTATATCAGAACATACTAGTTGGTAGATGGTAAACATCCCATTATAATCCCATTATTTAAAGTGGTTTATAGTTACCTAACTAATAGTGTCCATCTTCCCTGCGGGACATGTTGGGACCACATCTTCCCTGCCTCTCCAGGACCAGGCTTTGAAGGACGAATATGGGCTGGCCTGTGGCAGGATTCAGCATCGCTTGAAGGTGGCATCTGATGGATCAGCCATGTCGACAATGACAAAAGTGTAGATATCAAATAGATACCCTCCAGTAAATTAACATAGACCCTGGTAGTTGTTGGGGTTGGAAGATGAATGTTTCCACTAAACATTGGTTATTTTTAGGGTCTATGTTAATTTACCAGAGGGTGCAATTTATAGCTAAAATTGAATTGCCATCAAATTAATATGAGTACAAGCGTTTAAAAAGTAAAGAGGTGTCCTGTAAAGAGTATGGTTTGGTTTGCAAATCATGGCATTGCCAGGCAGCATCATGTACTCACCTACAATCAATGGCCATTCCAGGAACCTAAATTGGAGGTACCAACCATATATAAGGCCTATATAAGGCCTATGTAAGGGAATATCCCCACAAAATATGGCCTTATATGGTACAGTACCTCCATTTTAGGATCCTGGAATTCCCATTGATACAATGCCCTTATACGCACTCTGCTTGCTACGATGAACTGCCCTGCCTCGAACTTCCAGATGGTCGACCCTGGAACTGCCCCTTCTGCCCCTGCAGCAGCTGCCATGGAGTGGCAGACCCCCCGTATCAATCAATACCAGCCAAACATACTCTCCAGTCTACTCACAGCAAATTGCAACTTCAAAATCTCTAGTGGGCCCATTCTCAAATGGGAAAGTTTTTTTTGTTGAACGCAAATGGCAGAACTTCCAGCCAGCCAGGTGAGATGTCTGGACACTTGGTGAGATGTCTAACATCTGGCTGCCGAACTTGATTGACTCTCAAAACAAGGATGGTTGAATTTCCGTTCAATAGAAAAGGTATGTAAAGATTAGCAATAATCTCCTCAAATGAATCTCAAAAACGACCCTGGTTCTAGATTTTGGATGATTTTGGATGATTATTGGATGATTTTGGATGATTTTGGATGATTTCGGATGATTTTGGATGATTCTGATCCCCCGTTCACGTCAGGCTTTCGCATATATATATATATATATATTACATTGTATTGTATTGTATTGTATTATATTATATTATATTGTATTGTAATATATTATATTATATGATATTATATATTATTATATTATATTTTATATTATATTATTATATTATATTATATTATATTGTATTATATTATATTATATTATACACAATCAAATACCGTCATATGCATCAAGCTTAAAAACTCGGGGTGGAATGCAACAAACCCAATAACGTGACACGTCCCCTATAAGCCATGACGATGGATAGTCAGGGTGAATCCATCCACCAGTGGTCAGGGTGTATGATCCCCATGAAATCCCCTAAAAAAATACCATGAAATCACCATTTTTCATAGTTAAATCATAGTTAAATCATAGTTAAATCCCATCATAAACCACGATTTCGGTTGGTTCACCGCCATGATCCCAACATCATCCGGCACCAAACGTCACCTCTTGCCACAGCTCACCCCACGGCCGCTCGTGCCACGGCTCCCGGTCGCGACCAGGGGCCCAGTTGGCCCAGAGATTGCCTGGTGGAAATGGCTGGACCATGGAGATTCTATAATTATGCTACAAGATATTGGTAAGAATATGTAAGAATGGTATAATTCTATGATTGGTATAATAAATAATAACGGCACGGTATAACATGGTATAGCCATAGTAATTGCTAGTGCTAGGTATGACTTCTAGGATGTTATAGTCCTGGAAATCTACTATATTTCATCAATGCAAATTGTAAGATGGCGGATTTTTGGATCGGTTGCCAGTTGCCTGTTACACCCAGTTACGTCAAGAAACGTAAGAAAAAGCAGTCTGGCGAAGGGATAAAGCCAACCATATGCCATAATTTCGTAGTATAAAACAATGTAAGAGAGATGATCTATCAATTAGCCTCTGGTAAACTAACATAGCTATTAGAAATGGCCATTTATAGTGGATTTACCCATTAAAAATGGTGATTTTCCATAGCTATGTTAGTTTACCAGAGGGCAACATCTTAGTAACCAAAGCTTCAGCGGATGCTGGTGTGCTGGGATGTGATCGCCCTCAAACGACTCTGATCTCGTCAGGAAAATGGGACAAAAACTGCTGGAGGTGGAAAAAAACCAGCGAACGCCGTCTCCACTGTAGGTACTATGAAGTTTACCCTCTGGTAAACTAACATAGCTATTGAAAATGGCCATTTATAGTGGGTTTAACCCATCAAAAATGATGATTTTCCATAGCTACGTTAAATTACCAGAGGGTAATGATTGATGATATACGAATTTCTATCCTTTTGGAGATCATTAATATTTGCAGGAGCACATGTCACATTTACACTTACTAAATCATTGTATATACTCAGCAGCAAACCCAGCGCCGATATTCAACTTACCAATCTCTTGTGGATATCCCCGGCTCTGGTGCCCCTAAAATGGCCTGTAGCATCATGGTCACTTCATGTTACACCAAGACATCCAGACTTCCACCTGGATGGACCTGAAATCATCAGAAATCTGCCCTGAGTGCATCATGGGACCCTGATCCATCCCGGAATCCCACCTGCATCTGTCGATTCCTTCGCTTCCTTCGTTTCTTTCGTTTCCTTCCGCACGATGTGCGACGACACCATGCGGTGCACCGCCGACGCGTCCAGCCGCGCCGCGCGCCGCGGCACCGCGTCCGCGTCGGACGGAGGTGGTGCTGGCGGGGCATCCGCTTCGGTGCTGGATAGGCTGACCTGGAATGATTGGTTTTGGTTTGGTTCGGATATATTGAAGCATCAGAAATAATGAAAAGCTTAGGGGTTGAAGAATCATGATCTCTCCCAGTCAGGAAAATTAAATCATGGGAGGTTCACTTTTCTTCAGCCAATCATTTTGAGCAAGACATGTTGTCCCTTATATGGGTGCACAACAATTACAGCCTTTTTCCCTCCAGTAATCAAACATGGCAATAGAAATTCCACTATAAATGGCCATTTGAATCATAATGAAAATGATCTATGATTATGACTTGAGGATTTTCCAGCAAGCCACGTTTGATCCCCAGAGGGTAATGGAAACCTTGGGACTTTCAGCTCCTGTCATCTTCCATCCCATGTCTCACCAGGTGCGGTCCAGGTGCTGAAGCTTCGGATACGGATGCCACGTCAAACATGACATGCCTCCGAAGCGTCTCAGTCACTGGGCGTTTTGCCAATTAGTCTCGGGATCTCCATGTTCATTTGACCTGGATGGGAAATATCGAAATACCATGAACTACCTATTATCAAGAGGAAGTGAAACATAGTGAAACTACAAGCAGAAATGCTCCGGGAAAAAAAACTCTCCCATCAATCACCGATTGTCAGCGTCCGATAGTTGGCGAATAGATTTCTAACAGCTTGATATAGAGTGATGCTTCAATATGTATCTATATAACAAGTTAACCTAAATCAGTACTTACTACTTCCAGAGACTATGGTTCAATAGTAGATTTACACAATTTTACATATATATATATATTTGGGACCATAGAGTGGGGGATGGGATTACTTGCTACATCTTGAAGCTACTCCCTGAGTTAGATTCATGTGGATTCCCCCCAAAAGCCTGGAGCCAAATCTGGTTACCTCTTCGCCATCCTCGACTCCCGGCGGGGGTTCGGCTGGGGTTTACCACCTGGAAAATGGTGAACTTCATATGTTTTCACATATTTTCACATATCTGGGTAAATTATAATATTTCACTAACCTGAATTAAGGCCATTTGGGGATGATTTCCCTTGTTAACTATGATTTCCAGTGAGGTCGCAGTGAGGTCGTTATAATTTACCCAGACATATGACATATTTGTGAAAATATGTGAAAACATGTGAAAACAATCCAGAAACGCCCCAGGAAAAGGTTGGGTCATGTTGGGTTCCAGGAGTTTCGATCTTCCAATCGCAGCAAATAGCAGGCTGACCGTGATCCCAATACTCTGCAGGGATGAAAATAACATAAGCACCTGCACCCATCTGCACCCCCCAACCAGATACGATCAGACACAACGTGAATCCAAGATAATCTGATCATCAATGATATTTCAATCAAAATTTACAGATGTATATTATATACATATAATTACATATTATATATATATGTGTGTATATATAATATATATATATGTATGCCCTGGGTATGTATATAATTGTATGTAGCTCCATTCCTCAAAGTATGACGCGCCAACACTTGATTCGCGGCTCCTGCTCTGGCTCCTGCTCTTCCAGGTCCAACTCCTGGCCGTTTTAGTGTTTTTTTTTGGCACAACGTCCCAAGTCCAAAAAACCTCCCTCTGGTGATTAATAGTTAATAGTGGTGATTAATGATGATTGGGAGGGATTAATGGTGATTATAATCATGATGATTCACTTGGTTAATAGTGGTTAATTGTGATGAATAATGATAATTGATGGTAATTGATGGTGATCAATGCAGATTTACCCTCTGGTGATTTCACATAGCTATGGAGAATAACTTTAATGGAGAAAATCATCCATAAATGGGCAATTGTCCAGTGTTACATTTACCAGATAGAGTAGATAATAGGCCCTGTTGCAATACCATGACCATGGCTCTGAAGTTCATTGGGATCATCCGCGGGGGGGTTCCCCCAACAAGCAGTTGTTTTTTGTGGTTTTCACTATGGCAATGAAGATTCCCTGATTCCTTATATTATATAAGGAATATTAAGGAATTCAGGGAATCTTCATTGCCATAACTATCATAGTGAAACAACTGAACCAAGCATTGATTTGGAGGTTTCCTCAAATGGGAGGTACCCCCAAATCATCCATTTTAATATAGGACATTATAGGACGTTCCATTCTAAACCATCCAGCTATGGGGTATCCTCATGGACAGATGCTCCTCGTGCTACGGGATGGTAGGGGACGGTAGGGGGTAGGGGATGTGTGATCACCAGTATCATAGCAAGGAACCTGGTAAATCAAATTCTGGTTGGTGGTTTCAGCCCCTCTGAAAAATATGAAAGTCAATGGGAAGGATGACATCCCATATATGAAATGGAAAATAAAAAATGTTTGAAACCACCAACCAGAATTAAACATGGCTGGAACAGCCTTTTTTTCATTGGAAAAGCATCTTTCAATGGGCACTGCCACTGGGGATTGCCCATGGCTAGGTTTGATTATTGGGGTATGTTGGTAGGCCACTGCTAGGAGATATGACGATGGAAAGAACACTCGTAATACTCACATACTCAATATTAATTGACCACAGGTTTGCTGTGGAAAACTCAAGTGGTTCTAACATGCAAATACAGTCCAGGACTATCTGACAAAAATCAACAACACTCCACCATGATCAACAATGATGAACCATAACTGTGATGAACCAAGATCAGTCATGAGTCATGACACACCACAATCACCCACGATCAAGCATGTTCAGCCAATATTGCTATGGGTCATTCTCCTTCAGAATGGTTTGCTGTTTAAAATGTCAAGCGCTTCGGTCCTGTGGTGCGAGGTCGGATTCCCAGAATTTTATACTCAATCATAATTTAATAAATAGTACCCTCTGGTTATTTAACATAGCCATGGTATAGATGGCCCATTTATAGTGGTTTCTCCCATTAAAAATGGTGGATCTTTCCATGGCTATGTTAGTCATAACCAGAGGGTAATTCCCAACGAACCAGGTAGTATCATCAACCATGTGAGCGATTGTGAAAACCCTAGGTTCACGGAAAGGACATCCACAAATTTGGGAAGGTCCCATCGCTTACCACACGTTTGTACAATAATGATATATGGTAAACTTGGGGGGTATCGCTTGCAGGAAACTGCTGCATTTATATATATATATATGTGTGTGATGAACTATGAATAATATGTGATATTTGGGCATCGCTAATGTGGATATTAGAGAAATATGATGACATAACCTTGAAAAGGGGTATCGCTAATTTGGGAAGGTCCCATCACTTACCTCGTGTTTTTAACAATTTCCATCAATTTCCATAAACCAATGTCCGTCGAATACATATTTAGTATTGCCGGGGTTTTTACGGTTGCTCATGTAACCCCTGCAGCCTGGGTCTCCATCGTCAGCCCAGCCTGCGGTCTCCAAAGGTTCTCCAATGGCCAAGGGTCCCACGGATCCAACTCATCATCCGCGCCATCATCTCCCCAATAGCGCCCTGCACCGAAATCCATGGCATGACACCGGAGTCACCTGAGTCACCTGAGTCGCTCAGCACTGCACCATGCTGCACCATGCTGCACCGACTTTTGCAGATCGACTTATGATATGCTACGACACAGAGTGACATCAAGAACCACATCACCTGACTTGATGCAACAACAATGGGCTAGATGCTTCTGGCTAGTCATTTTAATCCATCACAAAGTACTGGCAATTGGGCTTAATTACCTACCCAGATAAAGGATTGAAAAGAAACATCGTTGACCATCTGAAACTACCTGTGTCAGTTCTGTTGTGAAACGCAATCAGGCCACAAATGTCCATCGCGAGAATAAACAGATATAAACAGTACAATCTACGAGCCAAAAAAAACTAGGATGTTTCTGAACACGGGAAGCAAGAGGTCTGCAACTCTCAGCATGGCAGTGTCATTGGCCATGTCAAAGCTGCAGCCTTCATCTGAGCGTGAATAAAGTTCAAATAAGGCCGTTCATGTTGTATTCCCTCGTTTTCTTCCGGGAGTTGCATTCCCCAACTGGCAAGCAGCAAGAGCCTTGGCCACGATTTTTCTACCTGCACCAACAGCTTGAGAAATCTCATAGGTCTGCCCAGTAGGACTAGAAGGACCTCACACAACCTGGTTTTTTCCGCACCCTGGGTAGGTCAGGAGCACTCTTCTGTCCACACCTATCAGTGAACAAAAAAAGAGGTGAAACCGCCACGGAAAATGCCAAACTCAGCCAGCTGAGGATCCAGATAGACCCCTGTCATCCCCTGTCCATAAAGAGTGGCTACCAAGATCGACTCGAAGCCACAGGAATTCTATGGAATTCTGGGGGTGGCTTGGCCATTGAGGTTGAGTCTCAATGGCCCTAGATTTGCGGACATCTTATGCCACGAATATACCCCTAAGTTATACTGTATATTTCCATGTGATGCCGTCAAGAGCTTGTGGCTCCTGGCCAGCAAAGAAAGGTACAGATAGGTATTGTACCGAATTTGGATTGGTTTCCAAATTTGGGCTGGTTCTGTCCGTCCCCTTGTTGCATCCTGATTTGGGAGGCTTCAAGTTTCAAGAACCTTCTGTTGATGAAATTCCATGAAATCCCCCATGTCTTCAAATTGAAATCCCGAGCCGTCCAGGTTTGGCACTTTCCACGCCAAACCTGCTGCTCAGCTCAGACTTTTTGAGCTCCGCATCAACCTTTGAGCACAAAAGTTCGCCAGTTCACGTCCCAAAAACTTGGAGCTTACAGCCAAATGGGAGTGTCCCAAAATGGTTAATACTAAAATTGTCTAATTTTGGATGATTGGGGGACTCCTATTTTAGGAAACCCCCAGATGTTGGGATGCAACCACCAAAAATGGATCGAAATGGGTGAGTTGGTGGTTGAACCACTAGAAAAACTGGGGACAGGACGGGCGATTCAGGTCACAAGTATGGCTCGAAAAAGGTGGTATGAATGGGCCATTGATCATGTTGAAAGTTTGGACATAAACCATCCAACTTCAACTTCGGGACGGCGTGTGCCATTCCCACGTGATCCCAGTTCATCCCAGTTCCATGAGGGAAATACCGAGGGAGAGACAGGGTGGGAACGCAGCAAACTTGGATCCAAAAAAGTGAGTTCTCCAGCTACAGACATCTTCACTTCTACATGCACTAGGTCCAAGTTCCACAGGGTTTCACCATGTTTCACCCATACATACCCATACTCTATGACTCGACATCACCCAGCCAGCCACCTGACATGGCTTGACCCCATCCGACATCACCAGAGGCAGCCAAGGCACTTTCGGTTTGGCGAGCCACTTCTGAACTCCGAAAAGCCACTCGAGCTTTGAGCGTCTTCCGCCTGGCGGCTCAGCATGGCTATGTCCGATCAGCCTCGGGGGGCAAGACTTAAGGTAGGCACGATTATAAAAACGACGCCACCTATGTGTGGAAGTTGTTGATTCGGGATGTTCCCATGATGCCACCTATGTGTGTTCCATCATATTCCTATGGAAAATCCCCGTAGCTACAAGGTACCAGTGGTTTTTTCCCATGAAATTCCGATTCACCTTCCTCTGCCGCCCGGTGCCCAGGCCTCCTGTTGCCGCCTGTACTCTTCGATCGCCTGCTGGGCACTTTGGCAGCTTCCTGACACGCTGCTGGTGGTCCCTGGTTTCCCTACGATGGATTATCATCCCCAATAAATATCAATAAATTAGGTAGTATAAGTTCATATATGAACCAATCAACCAGTCTATGTCTAATGGCTTACTTAGCCAAGATGAATATCTTTTGAAAAACCTTTCGGGACCCTAAGTTTCTGATGTTTTTTTGAGAAATCCCCAGATTTCTGGCGCCGAACTGGACTGTTTCGGTGAGGGAAATCCTTGTTGTTCGGGGTTGACCTGTGCTAATACAGACCAGAGTTTTTCAACAGGTGCCAGTAATATCCAGTAATATGATGCGGCATCTGCGTTCTTGCCTCATTGAGCCATCATGAGTCCCCAACAAGCCATCATGGTTCTCCTAAGTTCATCTTTTTTGACCAACACTTAACAGTTAAAAAAATGCGCCAGCAGTTACGGCTTGTCCTTCAAAAATGGACCAATCCATGGGCCAATCCATGCCAATCCCATGGTTTGAGGTCCAACGTCCATGGAATGTGTCATTTCTGGGTGATAAAATGTGGTTCTTATGTCCCATTGAAGTCATTGAAGCACCTTCTCCTGGTCGAACACGGCTGGAACTGGACCTCAGTGAAACTCCATGCGGGGAATAGCATGGGATAGAAACCAACCCGAAATTGGCATCAAAAAATGCCATCCACTGGTCCACTGGTTAGTGTTTGAAATACTTTGCAAGATACAACCGTCAATGGCATCATCGGAAGGGAAATGTTTCGACGTTCGTTTTCGAAACCACCTTAAGCACTAAAAACGTTGGTTTTTCTCGCTCACAGTGAGGTCACCAGTCATAATTTACCCAGATATGGCAGGAGGTTTCCTAAAATGCTGGTAGCCCCAGTCATCATCGATGGGATTAGCCACCATAAACCCTCTGCCAGGCCACTTCTGCGTGAGGTTGGAGCGACTGGAGGTGCTTGGAAGAGTTGGAGGCCTGGGAAGTGATGCCCAGTGTTTTTTGATGGTTATAGTTCTGGTCATAGGTGTGGTGATTGATAGTGATTTATATAATATTATATAGTGATTTAGAAAGATTCATATAGATTCATATAGTGACTATGGACTAAATCCAAATGATAGCGATTTATAGGACTCCTCAAAAAAAGGAAGGGTTCAAAACATTACTACTTTATTTTACGAGCTTCTATCTTTTTGGAGGTTGCTATAGACATGTCCAAGTTGAATATGTTGTTTGAATCATTTTGAATACTTAAGTTTGAATCTACGAAATAAAGGGGAGTGAGTTCTCGGTCCCAAAAAAAAGTCACCATGATGATATCGTGTAATCACTAGGGTTTTTCATTGCGGCTACTGTAATCTCAACAATCAAAAAATCTTTTGGGATGATCCGATGATATTTTCCTCATGATATGGCGAGGTCGTTTCTCTTCGCAAGAATTTGCCCGTGGGGTAGACATGAGGAAAGTTGCGAAAACCTATATATTATTACCGTATATATTGAAAGGCATGATCTGGCAACATGGTGATGGCCTCAACAAAATTGCAGAATTCGTTTTCAACAGACCTTCATAGGATGCATTTCTTTGGAGAGCAATTTTCCATGGATTCATAAGCCCATAACTGCGGCTACTGTGGACTTTGAGATTGGAATCCACTGAGCAAAAAAAACATATTCGGGCACATATGGATTCATGTTCAGTTTCAACCTGGTGATAACATGTATGAATATATCAAATCAAAAACTTAGGATTGGTCTAAACATTGGTTCCAAATCTGGTAATTGCCTACTTGGACAATTTAGATAATTATGCATCCCACTTTGACAACGCTGGGAAGCAAGTCTTTCACTGGGGTTATCGTGTGTAGTTGGTTGACTACCACCGTTTTCAACCAATTTCCAACTGGCATGCGTATCCACGAAATGGAATTTATCCCCCCTCCTGGTTCGTAAATTCCAAGTTTTCCTGGGGAAAAAAAAGGTTGTTTACTGATGAAAAGAAAACCTTCAAAAATGATGGGTTTGTTGCAGTAGTCTTGGCAAAATCCATCACCCAGCAAAAAGGCAGGTGAATATTCGTCCAGCTCTGGGTTCGATACCTTTCTTGCTTTGCCTGCCGCCGTTTCTGTGCCTTCAAATAGTTCCTCGCCGTGGATGCGTCCTGTCGCATAGTGTTTTCTGCGCCAGGAACGAAAACGCCCCGTGGTGGCAGGTACCAAGTTGAGAAACTGGGAAGAGGCAAAAATTGCTGGGATATCACCAGCAAATATAACATCACCCACCGTTTTAAGGGGGGGAACGTACCCAAAATGTAAGCCACATTTTTCAAGGTGTTTTTGAGGGGGGCTTGAAAATGTAAGCTTACATTTTGAAGGTATTTTTAAGACCCCCCACAAAAACGACACCTGGGGGGACATTCAGCGACCAATTTTGCATTTAAACGGGGGTCCCAAAATTTAAAATGGATCTTGCATTTTGGTATGGTCCCCCCCGAAAAGTAACCTTAAAGGGGTGGTGATACTATAACCAATGTTCATCAAAAGCATCAGATAACAATCAAATATCATCAAATATCCACGGTTTTGCCATGACACGATTCGTGTAAATTTACCCATGCAATGACAGTATTTTTGTTGACAAACTAAAAATGAAGGGTTCAACATTTCAACAGCAAGGATCGCCAAGGGTGACCAACCTTTGTCGGTTGGTTCGGTCCTTGAATCCCCATTCTTCCTGAAGTCGGGAACGGCGAGGGGTCGGAAAAACCATCACGCTGGTTATCCACTGTCTCAACAAAAAAGGCAATAAGAAATGAAGCCAATGCAACGGTTTCATCCTAACCGGATCTTTTGCCCAAGATTGAAACTATCACTATGATCGACGTATACTTATCAAGTGCATCATCCCGTTGTGGATGACCGGAAATAGTTCTCTTACAACACAAGGGTTTTCCCATCATCATGCTCGACTACTGGAGGGTAATGAAATTACAGAAGTATGGCTGCTAAGTTGGAATTTGTTCAAAAGGTCAATACCCCATCAACTGACATTTTTGTCACTATGCCCGCGCTACGTTACTTGCGATCACCCGGAATGTGAATTACCATTCAGATGTTATCATATGTTGATCTTCATCATTAATTCAACCCGGAAGGTTCAAGCCGCTGGAACGTCTTGTCTTGCTAGAACCTTGGAAAGCTGATGAAAGCTGCAGTACCTTTGAACCTAGAACCTTGTACCATTGAAAACTCAACATCTTGGAACCACAACAACTCGCGCGGTGTCCACTCGCCTTGGCTTGTTCCACACGTGTCCCGCGGTGAACTCCATGACCTGACAATGGGGATGTCCAGCAGTATATCACCACCAATGGACTAGGGGATTTTTTATAGGCGCTACGACGGTAACCACCAAACCTGAATTCAGGACATCCAAACACTGTTTGAAGATGGTTTGAGCTGGAGCTATCTAGAACTGACTTGAAATTTTGAAATGGTTGAGTTGGCCGGAACTGACTTGAGAGCAAGCCAGTCGATTCTTTCAGATTCTCTGCCTGTTGGCTGGCTATACCCGTCCATTTTGGGTTGGTCAAATCCCTTTTATTGTTGGTGAAACGGTTACACGTTTTGGTTCAATCCCCATGTTTTTTCGAAAAGCAGCACACATCTTTTGCTTGGTAAAATCATACAGTAAGTTCCATATCTTGGTTGGGAAATTCGCCAGAATTGCCATGTTTCTTGTTGCACAAATTTATACCCTCCATTTCCGGTGTCATGATGAAACATGATCGGACCATCTCTGTGTTGGAGTTACACCATGTTTCCCCTCCGTTTCCACAGTTAATACATGTTAATACCATCCCCCAAATTCACAGTTCGACCCTGAAACTAGCCCATGTTTAGTAGCAGGATGTAGCAGAGTCTCTCTCTTGCCAGGCATTCTGTCGCAGACAATCGCAACTCATACGAATGCTTCGGCGCTTGGCATGATCTCATACTACCCTTTGTCTCGCTGCCTGTAGAATGTTGTTGTTTTGAAAAGGGTCCCCATCATAGTCTGCTCGCCTCTCATCTAATTCTTGTGAAAAAGGTTTTACTTTAAGAATTCTGCGCAATCCCCTCAGGTGGAAGGCATCCAGCTTTTTGCGCAGCAACTGGGTCAAATTTATCGTTTCAAGGCTATATAGCGCTTTACTCCCAATCACTGCATCATATATGAGGAGCCCTCTGGTAATCAAACATTGCAATGGAAAATCCCCATTTACAGGTTGTGTTCCCAGCTAGAAACCTGCATTCATATGGGATTTCCCAACGTTAAAGTACCAGAAATGAATCATCCCAATAGTCTTCCGAGGAGAATTATCGAAGTAATCCCATGATCATCCCATTATAATGATATATGATATTATATATAATATACCAAACAAACATCCCATAATAATCAACAATGATCACTATCAATATCCTGTAATAATCAAAATGATTAATGAGGAGGTTTCTTAAAATGGGGGATCACCAAGCCACCATGGCTTCAATACTAAAAGATTGAACCAATTTTTGATGATTTGGGGTATCCCTGTTTTAGGAACCTCCATGATTAGTATTATTATTGATTAATGTTTAATCATTATTATATGATATGAATATCACACGATATTATAAGAAGAATCAGTATATTCATCATTCATTATATCATCAATGATCAATATTTCAGGTTGCCCGTATGTGCTGTTTTGGGAGGTCTAGTGCTTAACAATACTATGTCCAATCATATTATGTACTAATGTGTTAATAATCAAGACTGTGGTCATCACTATTGCTAGTCAACAATAATCATTATTATCATTATCGCTATATAATAAGTAGCATAAATATGATTAATCGCATATATATATATATATGGATGTGGGTCAAAATGGAAGACCTAGGGGACCACAGATGTTAGTCTAGTTTAGTATTAACCATCCAATTATTGGGGTACAAAATTTTGACCCATACCCATATAATCAACATTATGACTATTCAATCATGAAGGCGCAACGCCCCCGGTTTGTTACAGCTCGGACCTTCCGCTTCGATGGTCGCAGATTCCGCTGTGGAGGACAGGGACCTGGAACGCCGTGGACCTGGCGCGTTCGGTGGAGGGCCCCGCTGCGGGGTGGTGGAGGGCCCGGAGGGCCCGGAGGGCCCGGGACGGTGAAAGCCGGGAGTTTACCAACAACATCTGTCGAAAAATATGCGGAACATGATTAAACATATGAAACGTGTGGGAAAAATGATGACAAAATCATCAACAATGTGTGTGTGTGTGTTGCTTGCAACAAAGATGATGAAACATAATGAAGACCTATGTGGATTGATATCACCATCCCAGAAAGTTACGGAATGGACATCACCAGCACCGGCCAAGCACCGGCCAAGCACCGGCCAAGCCGCCAGGGTCAGGCTGACTCTTTGGGGTTTCCGGAGTTCCTTGCGCATCGCAACAGCGAAGTTTCCCCCAAAAAAATTGAGGGGATGGACTCCCCATGGAAATTGGTCATTTTAACATAAGAAAAACCGTCCAAATCATCATTGATCCTACAGACAATGACTTTACCCTCTGGTGAACTAACATAGCAATGGAAAATGGCCATTTATAGTGGATTTTCCCATGAAAAATGGTGATTTTCCATTGCTATGTTAGTTCACCAGAGGGTAGATACTTTAGACAATGACATCAAAAAATGCATGTAGGGGTACCACTACCCCATGTTCAAAGAACATCAAAGAACATCGTTTTCCCAAGCTCTGAGACATCGGCCGACGGCTTCCCGGTCCCTCCGTTCACCTGAAGCCAAAAAAAGGCCATGATCCTTGTAGTTAGGACCATGATGATGCATTCAGGGATGTTTCTTTGCTGTATTATATGGGGCCTCATATAATATTATATCATATTGTATATATATATAATTATATATATAATATATATATATATAATATATATATATAATATAATATATATATATATCATTATTGTGGTATGATGATCGCATGATTATAGGGATTATTTCAATATTGGGATGATTACCCACCGGTACTCCAGCGTGACTAGCTGGAAAATCCCAACTAAATGGAGGTTTCTAGCTGGAAAAATCATCGAAGTCAATGGTGGCCATGTTTGATTACCACAAGGTAATCCTGGAGCCATCTAGAACTGGAACCACCATTGACCCAACCATCAATCCTCGAGAAACGTCATGCCCTTTCCTAGTACGTGATGTTAACCCAGGATTTGAAAAAAAACCCGGGTCAAGAATGGGGGAGGCACCAATTTCATTGGGAATCAATTCATCATTCTACAAGGAACCTCACCAATGAATGGTCAGGGTTTAGTCTCCGGGCTTGACATCACCATCAACCACCAAGAAATGGGGATGGTCAACATGAGTAGAAATTCGGGTCAGCACCATTTTAGCTGGTTGAATTCTGATAATTCACCTGAAAATCGTCGAAATGTGGGGCCCAAACGGGGTATGATTCCACCGCTTACCATCATTCCAGCGATGGAAGGACCAGTGAGGCCACACTGATTCATCCAGATCATATCCCCAGATTACCACCAAACATATCCCATGATATCCCCGTGACATCTACCATTTATATAGATGGCTTCTCCTACTCAAAAATCAAACCACCGCAAAAAACCATGAAATCCATGATATGTCCATGAAATCCCCATCATATCACCATGATATCATCATTTCTCATGGTTATATCCATCATCTCCCACGATAATCCACACTTCCCCAGGGGCCCATCATCTCACTGCGCAAAAAACACGTCCAGCCCTGCACCTGTCGATGGAGGAGTACCCCATGCCGCCATGGGAGCAACCGCAACCTGGGACATCATCTTACAAGGAGTAGATCAATGGAAGATGTCCCCTCTGGTTATTTAACATAGCCATGGAAAATCCCCTATAAATGGAGGTTTTAATAGGTAAACCATCTATAAATGGGCTATTTTCCATGGCTATGTTAAATAACCAGATGGTATATATGGGGGGGTCCAGAAATAGGGGTACCCCGAAAAAATCATCAACTGCAAAATGATGGATGGAACCATGAAACAAAGCATCCAGCTACAGTATTGGGGTACCAGTGAAGTGGAAACCCCTAATATAAATGATATAAATGATAATTGATCATTGAATAGAGTGAATATTTGTGTGGTTTGTTTTCACTTCTTTCCATTGCCGTGTGTGTTTAACACTCTGTAGCTTGGGAGGTGTCCAAGGTCCAAATGCTTCTCCACTCGCTGCTGTCAGGCAACAGTTGGTGTCAGCTTCGGCGGCAGAGCTCCCTGCAGGGATTCAGGAAATCTTCCAGGCTACACTCTGGCAATCTAAGAGTTTGCCATGGAACATCAATATTTTTAATGCTAGGCTAGATTATTAGAGTCTAACTCGCTGGTTGTTGATGGTTGCTGTGCTTCTAAGGCTTTCTGTTCCGGTCACTACTTATGTTGCCCTGCTACACATCTCGCAGAGTAGTCTTTTTTCGAGATTCCACAACCTTTGGAATTCTCCTCAAAACTTGGTGGCATTTGGGTGGCTGAGCTGTGGCAAAACTCCCATCATCGACCATGGAGCCCGCCTGCGGTAAGCTCAGGTATCCGAAGGGATCTGCCTGCCATGTCCACATCGACCCGCAAACAGTGGGGACGTCTGCTGTTGTCATTGAAAGTCGAGTATAGTCATGGAAAATGGCCCATTTATAGATGGTTTACCTATTGAAAATTGTGATTTTCTATGGCTATGTTAGTCATAACCAGATGGTATCCATATCATCCAGTTACCCGGCCATCGTCCGTTTGGGTGTACCTTTGGCTATTGCCATATGCCCCAGTTTGTGTTTGTTGTATAGATATGACTGATATCAGCATCATATCCCCATAAAATGGTTGGTCTGTGTTGATCTGAAAAAATCATTTTTAGGCCCAGATCATTTATATTATAAATAGCCAAACGGCTTTTTATTTGCATGATTTTGCCATGAAATTTGGTTGCTATGTGACACCCCATTTTTGTTGGGTCAATGCCATCATATCCCAGTATTGTTGGTCAAAAAGCCATGCATATGCATATTGTATCCTAGGCCACTCCCATTCGACCCGATGATATTCCAAGAATATTCCGACCATATCTCCATAAAACGCTTCGATTTTCATGTTCCCCATATATTTCCCCAAGATTTCAGGGGTGGTATCTTCCCAACCCCTCAACCAGCCACCATGCCTCCGCCACCCGTCGAGCATCATTGAGGAGCTCCTCTAAGTCTACCTCAGGGCAGTCCTGAACCGGTTCTTTGGAAAAGATGAAATCATGGGGTTAATGGACACTAATGGAACAAACATTAAATAGTAGGATTTTAATTGAATAGTTTAAATAAGTTTAATACTGGGATTTTCCATGGGATTTGGAATCAACATTGATTCATGGGATTAATCTTAATAGAATTTCGCTCAATGGATTGTGGTTAGCCCAGAAACCCCACGATATTGGACAGTATAACACCCGAACGCATTATCAACCAACAGAGGTTTAGCATGGTTTAGCAGCCACTGCCCAAATAGTTTTGTCACACAAAGGGGATAGTCAATGGAATGTAACCTAGCGAAAAAAACGATATTTGAATCAGAAAGGGATAAAAATAGGGCAAAAAAATGGGCAATTTTCATGGTAGTTATCATGGAAACATCGTTTTTGGATAGAAACCGACCAATCTGATGGGATTCGAAGAAACCATTCTTCTCTGGACACTGGCACCACTGGGTCCTCCATGTCATCACTGGTCATTTTGGACCTTGAGAGCCGCACGCCGCACCATCCCAGGATGGAAACAACCAATAAAATTCATGAAAAAAACATGACTAGAATATAGTTGTGAAATTCATAATAGCTATGATATACATACATATATATATATTATATACATATATATATATAATATGGATTAATATGGGTTTGTCTGAAAATGGGGTACCCAATTTTTGATGATTAATCAACAGTTTCACTATTGAATGGCTAAATTTGGGGTTAATTAAGTTAATTACCCCATGTTCAGACAGACCCATATGGTATACACATGGTTTCAGCCCTGAGAAGGCACTTAAAAGCGCCGCTCACGGTGAGTCCCCCGCACTTCCTTCGCCCATCTCAGTTTCTGCCGTAGTCGTGAGCCACGGAGGGCGGCCTTCGTCGAAACTACGCGAGGTGTCGTGGCGTCGTTCCAAGTGCATTTGAAACTTTCATTTACCCTGTGAGAATAGTTTCAAACCTGAAAATTACAAGGGAAATATCATCGCACTACCATCCTGGATACATTTTCCGGCATCTTTTTTGGGCTTACTATAGATATCTATAGATTACTATACTATAGATCATGTGGCATAGAAGGTTAGGGACAATATGGTGGAAAAAAACACACCTTCAAATTCAAATCGAAAAGTCATCCACAAACGGCTCAGATTTTCCACTTGAGTCGAGGATTTGTTGCCAAAAACAGAACCTGTGGTGGCAAAATGTGGCAAAATCCTTGAGGCATCCTGGGATTCAGTCCTTTCCCTGGCCTGAAGTTGCGTGGCGGCGCGGCCATACTCAGCCAAACGACGGTCACCAGGGAGTACCTTCCCGGTGTCCCAGCCCAGGTTTTGGTTCCAAGCTGCACCATCTCAACTGTACCAGGAAAGCCATGGGAAACCACGTCAGCTATGCAAGGGCTTCAGGGCCGAAAAGTGGAAGGGACCTGGGTGCTGAATCTGTGGGATCATTATACTATCTATCTACAATAATATCTATAAAATATCTATTCCCAAAATATGAGAAAGGTCCATCCGTACTGTACCCACCAGAGGTGTTGGGGCACGTAGCCCTTGCTGCGAAGCACTTGCCGTGAACGCTGACCACGCCAAACGGCCTGCAAAGAGTCTTGCACTCAGTTTGACCCAGAGGACTTTTGTCCAACCAGCAGAGAATCGGAAGGATAAAATGCGAAACAAAATCGATAACGCAGGTGAGGCAGCAGCGGGCAACAGAATCAACCTCGAGCAATGGTGATGGGGCAAGTGGAAAACCGACAAAGTCTGACAGTAGCTGGATTTAGATTGGAAAAGAGAAGGGAATCCTGCCATATCCAATAATCCTAATCAATTAGTATCCCAATAATCCAAATCAATTGGGGAATAGATATTTTATAGATATTATGGTAGATATATAGATAGTATAATGATCCCACAGATTCAGCACCCAGGTCCCTTCCACCCTGCTGGCAACTCGCTCCGGTCGTGTCATGCGCCTGCACTTTGATGAAGCGTCTCCGCTGCCGTTGCGACAAACCCTGCAGCAGTCAGTGGGATTGATGTCAACGGATCCATAGAATCTGGCAAGTCTATATCATGTTATAACATGTTATAACCATTTATATAACCATTTATAACCATTTATAACCATTTATAACCCAGAATGCAAAGCCATGGTGACACTGCCTCCTTGGGGTCCTTTAACGTGTTCGACATATACTTTTTTTAAACCCCATGCCAGCATGGTTTATCAAGATATCGCCAGAACTATCCCCACAAAAAAAATCCACATGGGTTCAATCGATGGTAAAAAAATGATCAAATCGCTCTTGATCCACCAGACATTGGAGGATTTCATAGGTTTACCCACCGGCAATCGAACGTGACTTGATGGAAAATCCGACATTTATAGATGTTCCATTTATAGGGACCTCCATTTTTTTTGGGCATTTCCAAGCTAGCCACGTTTGATGATCCTATTAAATCCCATGAAATCCCTATTTTTTGATGGTTAAACCTCCATTCATATCAATGGGAATTCCAGGATCCTAAAATGGAGCTACTGTATCATATAAGGTCATATTTTGGGGGTATATCATGGTATATCCCCTTAGCCCTTTCATTTAGGCCTTATGGTAGAGGTACCTGGGTACCTCCATTTTAGATCCCAGGAAATTCCCATTGATATATGGTTATTAAACATGATTAAACACTCTTAAACCATTCATTTCCTTGGGGATAATTATGAATATTATCAACTTCATATGATATACATATTGATAGTGGATTTCCCAGCTTGCCACGTTGGAGTACAGGCCCCAGGAGGTCGACAGCCGTCGAGGTCGCCTGGCACAGCCGTTCAAGCCGCAGGCGCTTTGCCCGACGGCGTGCCAAGAGGCCTCGCCAGCCTGGGCTGGGCGAATTTTCCCATAGGGGGAAAATGGTGGTATGTATACATATACATATACATATATATATATATATATACTGTGAATATGCACATTTGATCTGTTTCCTTTTTCCACATGGTCACGAAACCTTCCACTGCTTTCAATCACTTGACATCCAGGTTTGCATCCGAAGTATTTAACCATTTAAGACATCTGGCTCAGGGAGCATTTGTCAGCAGCGGAGGGCGGGTGGTGCAGCTAAGCCATAGGCTACGTTGGTGCGCTTGGAACCCTAGCACAGGGTGCTGGGACAATTGCCGTGGACGGCATTTGCGCTTGGTGGTACAAAAGGCGTGGCAGCCTTTGGAATCTCTGGAGTGCCTGGGGCACTAGGTGTTGGAGGTGTTGGTGAAGGGAGCCGCTACCCAGTTCACACTGGTAGCGGAGCTCCTCGAAGCTTCGAGGAGCATCCAGGAGAACCACTGGTGCTTGCGAGATAAAGCCTGAGGCCGTGATCCCGAGCTTATCGAGCTGCCCATGTCGGAAACGTCAGGAGGAGCCGAAGTGACTGGAGGTGTATCCAACCAGTTAGCTTCACTGGTCCCAAGTTTTGACCCTGCAAAGGATGACCTTCAGACTTATCAGCAAAAGGTTCAACTGGTCCTCACGGTATGGCCACCAAGTAAGATCTCAGAGCTTGTGACACGTTTGATACTCAACACAACAGGATCTGCTTTTGCAAAGCTGCAGTTGCATCACTCCGAGTTGTGTGTCAACGATGCCAAACAGGTTCAGAAAGTGATCGAACTGCTAGGAGGCCACTGGGGAAAGACTGGTTTGGAAAAACGCTATGCTGATGCTGAACGAGCATTGTTTCAGTGCGGCCAACAGGCCGACGAGTCGCACGACTCGTACTTGGCCAGAGCAGATGTGCTCTGGTCAAAACTCAAAGCACAGAAGTTACAGGTGGATGATCTACAGGCATACATCACCTTGAGAGGCGCCAGACTAACAAGTGAAGACAAAAAACGGATCATCTTGGATTCTGACTCGTCATTGGAAGGTACATTGACAATTGGCAGAGTTCGAGAAGCAGTGAGAATGTTGGGCACGGCCTTCTTCCAGGAAATGACTGGTTTGGGGAAAAAGATGGACAAGACCAAGGTATATGATTCACTGACGATGTTTGCAGATGAACAGGAACACCATGGTGACAATGATGAATCAGTGAACCTGGCCAATCATGAAGACTGGACAGAAGATGACCTGCTGGAGGCTCTCATTGCTGAGGGCGACGATGATGCCGTGTTCATTGCCGACTTCGAGACGGCTGCAAGTGAGTTGGTGCAAGGAGACGAAGATCTTGCAGCAGCATACAGCACATACATGGAGGCACGTAGAAAACTCAGTGAGAAATATCGGTCGAGGGGATTTTGGCCCATCTCCAAGGGAAAGGCCAAAGGCCGTGGCAAGTCAAAAGGACGGGCCCCTTGGGGAAATCGAAAGTCCCTGCAGCAAAGGATTATGGAGTCCAACTGCAGGCTGTGCGGGAAGAAGGGACATTGGCGCAATGAGTGTCCAATGAAAGGCCAATCGTCTTCAACTTCCGCCTCAGCCGCCGTGACTGCAACTTTTGCAGCTCCAGGAATGACCGTTGATGATGCCATGCCAGCTGAGTTTCTTAGCCTGCCCGAAGTTGCCGAGTCCCAAGCCAAGGACATTTTGTCCAATGCGTCATGTTTTGTACAGACAGTTTTTTCAATGAATGGTTGTCGAACGCATCCGTCCCCAGTCCAATCGAAGCCAAGCTTGAGTAACCTCAGGGATAAAATTAGGAACCATATTAAGGGTAATAAGGGATCTAATTTTGGGGTAAAATCGCTGGTGGCCAGGATTGAACAGAAGCTCCGACAGCCCTCCAAGCCATCGAGCATGCCAAGCACAGAGGCCTGCCAACCGAAGCGCATTTTGCGCACTGACCAAGTGAGAGAGCCAGCCAATCAAGTTTCCAAACAGCCGCTCTGTTCAAAAGCAACAGACCAATCTTTGACTGCACCAGTGGAGAGCCCAATGACTGCCACCGCATCCACAGAGGCCGACATGTTTTTTGCCACTCATGACACGTGGGGAATAGTAGACACCGGGGCAACAAAGACAGTCATGGGAAGTTCACATGTGAAAGAGTTTTTAGAAAATCTTCACCCTCAGGTCAAACCTCATGCGCGACGCAGTTCCAGCAATGTTGTGTTCAGATTTGGAAACCAGGGAACGCTGAAAGCCACCCATGCACTTGTTGTGCCAGTTTGCGGAATGTGGTTGAAGATATCAGTGGTAGCTGGGTCAACTCCCTTTTTGATTTCCAATACGCTTTTACGTGCACTTGGAGCCATGATTGACACCAACAATCATCAACTCATTATCAAAAATCATAACACCAACATCCCATTGCAACTTTCTCAAAAGGGTTTGTACCTCATGAACATGAATGACTTGCTTACAATATCTCCAGTGCCGGGAAGCCACGAAGTAGCTGCTGAAACCTATGCACAGGACGATCACTCCAGTGGTCAAAAGAATGCGGTTAGCCAGACGTCAGCCAACATCAAAGTTCCGTTGGCAACCACTGCCAAGATCAGTGATGCTCCTGTTACCAATAGGATGGATTCAGCAAACCCGATTGTACAGAAAGTTTTCGCTCAAGAGACCGACACCAATCAGCGATCGTTGCATCCCATCCGTAGTCATGGCCAGCTTTGCCCAGCGCTTGACCCGTGCTCAAGCCAACCTCCCAGCTCCAGAACAGGAGTCCATCGAGCACCTGACAAAGGAGAACCTCAAGGACGAAGTGATGAGTTTTGGAAAGAGCCATTTGGGCAAAACATACGAGGAGATGTGGGTGTGTCACCCAGATTGGATTCGATGGTTCACAGCACACTACCACAACAGCACCAAGCTGGAACACAGGAAGATGATTCACTACATAGGTCTCAAGATCGAGGAGTCCGAAGCCAACGAGGGACAGTCATCTCAGATGCCAGTGCCCAAAGCCAAAGCCAAGAGTCACCCCAAGTCATTGGCAGCCAAGCCAAAGACGATGGCAGGGCCCAGCACTCAGCCGATGTGGAACCAGGAGATCGACACCGAGATCTACGAGATGATGAGCGAGTCACCCTGGGTGAACGAAACTCAGACCAGAGAGGAGATCCAGAACATCCAGGAGAGGATGACAGGGCTGGAGACAGCCATGCAACGGATGATTGCCCTGATGTCTCAGGGGCACATGATGCAGCCGCAGCCGGTGCCTTCGACGTTGCCAGAAACTGCCACAGCAGAATGGGAAGACCCATGGAACCCGTGAATGAAGAGAACAGCTGTGGCGACTGGGCACTTAGGGCCGGAGAGATTGACCAATTTTGTAACTCTATCCCCAACTCACACCAGGTCAAATTTTGGGAAACAGTTGAGATGATAGAACATGAACTTGCACAAACCGCAAAGATCATCCAACCGTGTTCAAAATCAATTGATCTATTGGAAGTTTTCTGTAGCTCAGAAAGCATGCTGACAGCCCAAGTCAATCAGCAAGGAGGAAATGCAAAAAGATTTGGATACGACCAAGGCGATCTGATGCAGACTGAGGGCCGCCGAGAACTGTTTGCCAGTGTGATCAGGTATCAACCGAAACATATCTGGATGAGCCCAACATGTGGCCCTTGGAGCAAGTGGTCTGCTTTCAATAGTCAAAGATCAATCCAAGCATGGGATCAAACCCAACAAGACCGAATCCAAATGCTCACCCAGATTGCATTGTGCCTGGTCCTCAGCAGACACCAGCACCGGTGTCAAAGACATGCCCATTGGGAACAGCCGAAGGGATCCCTGATGATGAAGATCCCACCAGTGCAAGAAGTCCATCGATATATGGTAGTTGCCAAGCCTGATTTGTGTAGAGCCGGGAATTTGCAAGACCCCCAAAATAAGATGCCAATCAAGAAGGGTGTGGAAATTCATACCACTTCCATGAGATTGTATAATGCACTGGACCCTTTGCGATGCAACCGTTCCCATGAACACCAGGTCATTGAAGGATCCACGGTGTCCCAAGGCATGACTGTCTCGCGATCGCAGTTTTCCGAGTTGTATCCAAGGAAGTTCGCACGACTGATAGCTCAGACACTGCTGAAGCAACGTTTTCCTTTAGAAAAGCCAGTAGGAAGCATTGCAGACCCCGCACGCAGATGTCCTTGCAGCATCAGTCAGAGAACGTCCCGCCAAGAGAATCCGCAAAGCCCCCAACAAGGGCACCAAAGTTCCTGCTGCAACTGGCGCACTCGGGCAGCCGGGGGAGACAAAGCGTCAACGCCTGAACCCTCCAGAGGTCAGTACCGAGCAACATGATGCCACAGGTTTTTCAACAGACCAACAAAAGGCAGAAGCAATCCTGAAAAGAATTGAAGCCATTTTGCCTAGAGTAGGAAAGAAAAGAATTGACAGTCCAGCCATACTTCAAGAGTTACATCAAGTTTTCCCTGGGTTCAAGATCATTCAATTGATTGCTGGAAAGGGCACTGATCGACGTTTTGAACCCCCAAAAGAAATCACTCCTGAAGAAGCACCATATCGAAGATCAATCATGCGACTTCGTCAAGATCAACAAGTCATTCTCGATGATTCATGGGAAAAGTATGACATACTTTCCAAAAGGCAGTTGATCCGAAAGTCTCCAGCCTGCAGAGTGAATATAACGATGTTCGCAGCCAAAGAAATCGAGAGCCACCAGAGCCCTCTGATTGAATTGCAAGCCGCGCCACCACCGAATGCCGACAGTGTCCCTGAAAACTCTGCAGTGGATCCACTTGTAAGCCTGCCGTCAATCGAACCCATGAATGCAGACATGCCAAAAAATCCATCCATCCAGCATGAGAGACCACCTCTCGAAACAGACGTGGAACACCCAGAGAAGATAGGGACACAGCCTGATGAACATCAAGCCGATGATCATCGCATGCCAGAGGCCAAAACCGGCCATGGACCCAGGTTCCGAGCCTTACCCAAAGAGGAACAGGCCATGATCAAACGGGCACATCAGAACTTGTGTCATCCCAGCCCGGAGCAGTTGAGCGCCGTTCTCAAAACACAAGGCTGCAGACCTGAAGTATACCAAGCAGTGTTTGACATGGAATGTTCCACATGTGCCTCATGCCAGAAACCTAAAATATCACGACCCAGTTCCCTCAAAGATTCCTTAGACTTCAATGATAAGGTCTTTATCGATGGGATTTCATGGACAGCCAAAAATGGGGTGATGTACCACTTCTATCACTTGTTGGACCAGGCCACCAACTATCATGTGGCGATTCCTGCACCGAGCAGATCCGCAGATCAAGCTATCAGCAAGGTTTCCGATGCATGGTTCCTTTGGGCTGGCCCACCAAATGCCCTCATAATGGATGCCGCCACAGAATTTACAAGTGAAGAATTTGGTAACTTTCTCCAGAGACATGAGGTCAAAGGAATCACAACATCACCACACGCTCACTGGCAGAACGGAAGATGTGAACGACATGGTCAAATTCTCCAAAACATGTTGAACAAATTAGATCATGAAAGCCCAATCACGACATTCAAGGAATTCCAACAAGCTCTAATCCAGTGCACACATGCCAAAAACACACTGAGCATTCGAGCCGGATTTGCACCCGAAGTCTTAGTATTTGGGAAGTGTTCCAAACTACCAGGTTCTGTGGTAAGCTCCGAAGATGTGTCAGCACATGCCAGTGCCAACAGAGATGACGCACAAGGAATTTCCTTCAGACAAAACCTAGCGTTAAGAGAACGCGCCAGGATAGCATTCCACCGTGCCGACAACGACATGGCCTTACGCCGTGCTTGCCTTCGCAGAACCAGACCGGACAGACAGGGGTATAACGTTGGTGAATGGGTTATGATGTGGCAACCCCAAAAGGAAAACAATGGCTATTGGTTTGGTCCCCTCAAAATAATCCAACAAGAAAAGAACTTGTCGGTTTGGGCCACTGCAGGGGGGAAGCTTCATCGACGTGCACCGGAACACGTGCGACCTGTGAGCTCAGCCGAGGCTAGAAGGTTGCCAGAGGCAGAATCAGAAATCATGCAAAGCCCAGTAACCAATCCTGTGCCTACCACCGAAATTCCCCAAGCTAACCATGGAAATAGCCCTGAAGACCCCAACAACAACACCAGTAACCATAATCCTGTGTCAGAAGATAACACCAGTCAATCCCAAGACCAACCGGACAATGAACCCGAAGGGATGAACTCCGATGATAACCCCAATGAAAATGAAAATACATTGGAACCACCATCTACAAGTCACATCGATACCCCAATTCCAGAAAGTGAAGAGGATGACCATTTGGTGACCTCTCATTTACTTTGCTGCGATGATGAAATCCATGTCATTGACCCCATAGAGGAGCCCTGTGCCTGGCGGTGTGAATTTGAAGTGCCTCATCATTGCATTGGCAAATTCACCAAAGAAACCTCAGCCGACGAAATTTTACTGGCCACCACAGAAAAGAAACAACGCACTGAAGTGAAGCTGTCACTTCTGGCACCGGAAGAGAAAGCCGCCTTTCAAGCTGCCAAGCAGACAGAAGTCCAAAACTGGCTCACGACAGGGACAGTGTCAAAGATTCTCAGGTCAAAATTAGCGCCTGAACAAATTCTCCGTTGCAGATGGTTGTTGGTATGGAAAGAAAAAGATCTCACTCAAAAAAATGAAATCAAGGAGCACCAAGGACTATCCAAACTACATACTCACAAGGCAAAAGCCAGGCTAGTGGTTTTAGGGTACCTTGATCCCAACCTGACCGAAGTTCCTCGAGACAGTCCCACGTTGGGACGCCAGTCAAAGATGCTGCTGCTTCAACTGATTGCATCAAATGGATGGAGCCTTGGCTCATTCGACATACGCGCAGCTTTCTTGCAGGGCCGAACTCAGAAAGACAGAGTCATGGGAATTGAGCCAGTGCCAGAACTGGCTGAGGCCTTGAAACTCAAGCCCGACGAGGTATGTAAATTGGATAAATCCGCATATGGTCTTATTGATGCTCCATTCCTCTGGTTCCAAACTCTGTGTGAAGAATTGGCCCTCCTAGGAATGACACCCAGTCCATTTGACCCATGCATGTTCATTCTCCGACATCCCAAAACAGGGGCTTTATCAGGTGCCTTAGGAGTGCATGTTGACGATGGTATCTATGGAGGAGACGACTATTTCCACCAACAAATCCAAAAGCTAGAACAAAAATATCCATTTGGATCCAAGAAATCACGATCGTTTACTTTCACAGGGATTGACATGCAACAACAACCAGACAATAGCATTCGCCTTTCTCAAGCCAAATATGTCAATAACATTTCCCCAATTTCCATCAAACCTGACAGACGCCAAAACGAAGACGAAAAGGTGACAGAAGAAGAGCGCCACCAGTTGCGCGGCCTGGTAGGATCGTTGCAATACGCTGCAGTTCACACAAGACCAGACATATCCAGCGCATTGAGTCATCTTCAATCTCAAATCAATCAAGCCAAAGTATCAACATTGATCACCGCAAACAAAGTTCTTCACAGTGCAAAGAAACATAGCGATGTTTGCATTCAGATCCAACCGATTGCCGTCAAAGATGTGAGATTCATTGCATTCTCAGATGCCTCGTTTGCCTCCAAGAGCAAACCCGAATCACATGCAGGGATGATCATTTTGGCAGCCCACAAAGAAATTTCCCAAAACAAATCATGTGCCATAAGTCCTCTTTCTTGGGGTACTAAGAAAATCCAGCGAATAGTGACTAGTACGTTGTCAGCTGAGACATCGGCCCTCTCGACAGCACTGGACCAATTAACATGGCTGAGACTTTACTGGGCATGGATCCTGGACCCAAAGACGGAATGGCAAAGACCAGAAAAAGTAACCAACCTTCCACCTGCAATTACAATTCCCACTTACAAAATTGACAGTCAAGATTTAGCCATCACAGATTGTAAAAGCCTATATGATCTTACAACACGTACTGCAATCCCCAATTGCTCTGAATTCCGGACCCAATTACTAGCTCGTTCTATAAAGGACATCCTTTCAGAAGGAATAAAGTTGCACTGGGTCCACTCCGGGGCTCAATTGGCAGACGCCCTCACGAAAGTCATGGAAGCAAACTTTTTAAGAGAAACTCTCCGACAAGGAAAGTATTGTTTACATGATTCCAATGAAGTACTGAAGAACAGGGCATCAGCCAGAAATCGACTCAAATGGCTCAAAACGTCAACCGATCAAATGTGCATTTAAATTTAAACTTTTGAAGTTTTGAGGAATGTGAATATGCACATTTGATCTGTTTCCTTTTTCCACATGGTCACGAAACCTTCCACTGCTTTCAATCACTTGACATCCAGGTTTGCATCCGAAGTATTTAACCATTTAAGACATCTGGCTCAGGGAGCATTTGTCAGCAGCGGAGGGCGGGTGGTGCAGCTAAGCCATAGGCTACGTTGGTGCGCTTGGAACCCTAGCACAGGGTGCTGGGACAATTGCCGTGGACGGCATTTGCGCTTGGTGGTACAAAAGGCGTGGCAGCCTTTGGAATCTCTGGAGTGCCTGGGGCACTAGGTGCTGGAGGTGTTGGTGAAGGGAGCCGCTACCCAGTTCACAATATACATATACATATATATACATATACATATACATATACATATATATATATACATATACATATACATATATATATATACATATACAGATACACATACATATACATATACATATACATATATACATATACATATACATATATATATACATATGCATATACATATACATATATACATATATACATATATACATATATACATATATACATATATACATATATACATATATACATATATGTATATGTATATACATATACATATACATATATACATATACATATACATATACATATACATATATACATATACATATACATATACATATACATATATACATATACATATACATATACATATATACATATACATATACATATACATATATATACATATACATATACATATACATATATATACATATACATATACATATACATATACATATATATACATATACATATACATATATATATATATATATACATATACATATACATATATATAGAATTAATATATATATATAATTAATATATATATAATTAATATATATATATAATTAATATATATATATATAATTAATATATATATATAATAATATATATATATAAATAAATATATATATAATATTAATATATATATATATATTAATATATATATATAATTAATATATATATATATA